CGTATCGCCGACAAAATTTCAATATTCACGAAATTTACTATTTATGTGAATAGTAATGAATAGTAACATCGCAAAAAATTGACAAAATTCACAACCAAAAGCTCTGATTACCAGTTGTTGAGAAATAAACAAGTAACGAGTAATTTCTCTATAACAAAATTAGTGAGAATGCGAAATAAAAACGGAAAAATAATACCCGAAATTGATAACGGAGTTCAACCAATTGTGCTTACGTCTTCGGACTGCTGCAGATCTTTTATTAAGAGAGAAAATTTACAGGTGTTTACAAAACACTCACTACTCACAAGAAACTCTCTAGTATTGGGAGAAAGAAATGATTTTTGGGATGATTTTGAAGCTAAATGAACTAGGGTATTTATAGTTGAAGCTTAGGGACTAATCTTGTAATTAATCCTATTTCTATTTTAATTAAAAATTGGGACCATTGTTGAAAACCCCAAGCTGGCGGTGCCCCTTTCCTTTTATTTAGCCGCAATATTTGACTTTACAAGAAGAAGATAAATGAAATAAATAACAACAAAAGAAGAAAAATGATTAAACCTCCCAAAAACAAATAGAAAGCTCAAGAAATAGGAGAGGAAGAAGCAAAGAGGTTGATACACATGTTAAAATATCATGGTTTTCAGAACCGGACCGGTTAGCGAACCGATCATGTTATCGATTCACTGGTTCAACCGGTCGATCCGGTCCGACCGGTCGGAAGAACCAGACGACGTCATAATTATTTAAAAAATTAAATAAAAATACCAAAAATATTTAATAAAAAATAATTTTTTATATCACAAGTCATATTCAAAGCAAGTCATAACATATATAAGTTAAAAACCATACAATCAAGTGAAACAAAATGATTCAAATTAACTACAACATAATATTTAAGGTAAAACATATTAAATAATAAATATAATTATATAACTATAATTAAAAAATAAATTTGGGGTTAAAAAAATCATAATAAAATGATATTGTTTGGTTTAAATTTTTTAAAAAAATCAATCTCACATGGCTAAGAAACATAAGAGTAAAAATATGAGAACAAAACAATCTTACATTGCTAAGAAACGTAGAAGCGCATCACAACTAACTTCTATAAATAATAGAGGTAATTTGGCAATCAAAATCATGGAGCCTTTTGGTGAGCATTGAGTGAACTATTCTTTCACTTCAATCAAGCTCGAATTTTAGGCTTCAATCGAGCTTCTAATTTTTTTTAGTTCAAGCCTTTTTGAGTTCAAGTTTCAATATTATATTTCGAGTTTGAGTTGAATTTGATAATTTTTAGGTTGTGAGTTTGAGTTGAGTTGAGATTACTTTTAAAGTTTTCAAGTTCAAGTCGAGCTCAGCAATACTCGAGTTCGACTTGGCTCGTTTAACAAACGACGTTGTTTGGTTTAATTTTTAAAAAAAAAAACAAAAATCTTGGTTTTTCTCGATTTTTCCGATTTTCAGTCTGTCCGGTTCGAACGGTTTAGCGGTTCTGGCCGATTCACTAATAGCGGTTCACCCGATTTAGATTGAACCGGACTAAACAACGATTCTCGGTTGAACCGATTAAACCGACGATCTGATCCGATTTTCAAAACAGAGAAAATATTGACATGATTGAGCCGATACAAGCAATGGAGAAGGTCTCTATGGCACATGAAGTTGAAAAGTTATGTGGTTGGAGAAAATATTAAGTATGCCACGTCATCAACGTGTAATTGAGAAAAGGTGGAGTGACAAAAAAAATTGACTTATAGAGTTTAATTATTAAATTGATTTTTTTGTAAAGTACAATGACCAAAATAAGAGTGGAAAGAAAGTTTAGTTATTAATTATATGATTTATCCTTTTTAATCTAATTATATATTTCAATATTAAATCAAATTATAGTTTTAAATCAAATTTAAATACCAATATATATATATATATAATCATCTTATGTAGGGGTTAAATCTTTATTTAACCTATGAAATTCTCTATTTTTTATCATTTTGATTTTTAAATTGTTTTATTCTTTTAATATTTGAAATTGTTTCATTATCCCTGATCCCTCACTGTTGATGTTTTATGTTAAAATCATATAACACAACAAATATATTTCTAATAAAAATTATTTTATACAATAATTTTAAAAATAAAACAAATAGTGAAGAAAAAAAGAAAACAAAATAAAAGTTGTATTTTAAAAAATATATGATTTATGTTCTCTTTGCAATTCATAGAAATTAAAATTTGAAAACACTCTAATTAGAGATTTTTTTAAGTACCCGATTTCAGTTGCATTAGATAAGTCAAAAAAGTATTTTCTAATCCCACGTTTTATTTTTGGTAAAAAGGTAACTTTTGTGCTGCAGTAGGCCTAATTTATCATTTTTATCCCTATCGTATTTTCACATTAATTTAACTTTCAAAGTTGTTCAATTGCATCATTCTAAACTATACCCTCATTAAAACCTTAAATCGATGGTTTTAAGATATATATTAAGGTTTAGGGTTTAGAAGTTATGGGGTTATAGTTTAGGATTATCAATTTAGGGTTTTAAGTTAGGAGTAAGATATAGAATGACGCAATTAAATAACTTTGAGGGCTAAATTGATGTGAAAATACGATAGGGGTAAAAATGATAAATTGAGTTTACTACAAGGGCAAAAGTGACCCTTAAACCTTTATTTTAATATTAAAAATAATAAAACGTTTAAAAATCTTTTGATTAATATTTATTATTTAAACACGAACCACACTATCTCAATGGTTAAGAAAATATTATTATTCTTTGAGACCTCGAGTTCGAGCGTCATGTATGCCAAGGGTATGAATGTTCAGTGTCAAATGGTTGAGAGTTTTTGAACATATACTACTTTGTATTCATTCCAAATTAATAAAAAAAAAAATTTAAATATTAATTTTATTACTAAATAACAATTTAGGTAAAAATAAATATTGTTAAATAAAATCATTTTCCTCAATCATCAAACCCCATTAGACTAATTTGATAAAAAATCCTATTAAACAAGAATATTGTTCGTAACATTAATTAGAAATTTTATAAATTTTATGATAAATATAAATTTTATTAATTACATATCAAATTTCGAAATACTTATTATTTTGATCACTATATGTGTATATACATGTGAACTAATTTGATTGAAAATAGTTCAACATTGCATATCCCTGCCGTTACTCTATCTTCACCCACATCCCTTGACTTGGTACATGAGCATGCACCGCAAACAAAAGGTAGTACCCCGGTGGAGCAATCTCGGCCGTCGACGGTCCAGCAACGGTTAACCCATACGTAGAAGGTGAAAGATTGGTGACGCCGACGATCTTCAACGACACCATCCTTTGATTCATCGAGAAAGAATGGGTTGCAAAGGATGGTGCAACAATGTTCACCTCCAAAGCATTAGCTGTCAAGTAAACTTGTAGTTGAAAACTTAGCGAAAATAACTTTCCTCCGTATCCTATGTTCTCATCTACAGATAAAATCCGAGGCTTTATCCGATCATATTCCAGGGATAAATACGGCGGCGAGAAAGATTCCATGCTTAAATCCGTCGGGTATTCGACGTTTATGAAATTATAATTTACGTGAGGATTGCTGCCACTTACGAGAATTCGACCATCGGGTAATAATATGGCTGATGAATGGTACATTCTTGGCCTTGTGGATGGTGACATTATAGCAAAACGCCAATTGGAGACGTCGGTGGACGGGCGGTAAATGATCGGTTGAGTGACTGGATCACGGCCTAGTTCCCAACCGGCGGTACCCGATTCCGCACCGTTGATTATGAGCATATCGCCGTTTGGCAGAAGTATCATGTCGCCCATGACTCGAGCCAACGGCATGTCTTCCATGGTCCAACTAGGATTTGGATCCAAAACCTTGAGCCTCCCACATGTTGATATTGCACGTATGAAGTTACCTTGCGTAGCCTGTGTATATGAGGCTCTTGGTGCACCGCCGCACACCATTATTTCGGGTTCGATAACTGCTTTGCTTTCGTCTAAAGGAAGCAAAACAGATGAACCGGTGCTCGGATAATTCCTCGGATCGTCACCGGGGATTCGAGGGAACACTTTTAGAACCCTGTTTTGATTATAATCAAGATATATCGATCTCGTGTTAGCGAAGATAAACAAGTTTCCATCTGGTAAAAGGTGCAAAAATGGATACAAATTATTCTCCACGTCTTGATCGTTTGTTTCGGTTAAAAAATTCAACCAAACAACTTCGCTAGAACTCGAAGGATAAAATTCATAATTATTCTGTCGTCTCCCACCAACAATTATGATTCGACCATCAGGTAAGACTTGATTCGTAGCATACCATCTTCGTTATATTAAAGACTGTGGGAACTCGATCCAATCGCAGTATTCATCGTCGTTACAAGGAGTGAAACTTCGAATATTTCGATCGCCGTCGTTGTAGCCGCCGGTTTGAACAAGAGTTCCATTAGGGAGGACTGCACCAGATGAGAACCAAGTATCGGTTTGGATCATCAAGGGACGAAAAGCATTGGTGTTAATATCATAGAGGATCGAGTGAGCAGTGCAGTCAGTTTGGAGAACAGTATCGGAGTTATCGACTCGGCAAACACCATCGGGAGTAAAGGTTTGAAGGGCCGAAATCGGTTCTGTCGAAGATGATGACCTTGTTATGGAGAAGAAAGGGATATAACAGCGGAGAAGAAAGGGAGAAATGAGAGTGAAGGAATAAAGAAATTGATCATGTTGATGAGTCTTTAATTGGCAGGTTAAGGGCAAAAAGAGGTCTAGGGTTGGAGTTGATGATTTGAGAGGTGAAAATTTGTTGTGAAAACTATAATTTTGATGAATAATTTGTATTTAATAAAATTATGTTATTCAGATTCGAGTGTAAATTTTAGATATAAATTTATAATATTAAAATAAAAATAAAGGAGATAGAGAGGGAGATTACCTTTGGGTAAAGAGCACTTCTTGAGGGATCAAGACAAGAAGCGTGATGGTAAAGTATAACTGTTACAAGCCTAAAACGGAGATCATTTGCTCGGGAAGTTCAGAAGATGTAGGTCAATTACTTTGCTTGAACCCAACTAACTCATTTCCATGTAACATTTAAAAAATTAATTATAATCAACAACTAATTGATATAACGGATGAACACGAATCAAGCATCTCGGCAATAAAAAATTATTGTAATTTCTTGAGGTCTCGGGTTCGAGTACTATGGATGTCAGGGTTGTGAATGTTTAATTTCAAAAAGGGTTAAGAGTTATATTTAAACAGATGATATCTTATGCTTACCTTAGATTAATTAAAAAAATAGGATGAAAGTTTAAATAATAAAATTTGATATTATAAATAAAATAAAATAAATTGAAAAAATCTTTTCATAATAGACCTCTATAATATTCGATTTAGACTAATCGATTAATGAATTAAATATTACCTTATTATACTAAAAAAGTAATTATAAACTACTAATATTTCGAAGTAAATACCAATATAAACATATTTGATATTTTTTTACATTTTAAAATTAATTTTTAAAAATATTGTATTATCTCTTATTCTATATATATATGGGTTAAGATCCACTTATATATAATGTAACTCTTTTAATTTTACATATAATATAGAGTTAATTCTTTCTTAAGGGATGTCAATCTTTTTTAAGAGTGGTATATTTTTATTTGTTTTTTTTATATTTCATATATTTAATTTATATACGAAAAAGAATTTCTTGAAAATTTTGGGGTGTTTCATTGTATACCAACTCTGCCCATTTATGTTATAAAGATTCAAACATTTGACAATGAACGCTTAAATATTCTACAATCATTGATGCTCGAACTCGAGACCTCTAGGAATAAAACATTCTTTTAATCACTGAGGTCATCTAGTTCGTGCTATAGACTTTGTATTTGATATAACAAAAGTTCATACATTTTAGGAATAAACCAAAATTGAGAGGCATTAGCTCTCCCTTGCCTTGCAATACTCAATCCATATTAGTAGATTAATAAATCAGATATCCATGGTTATATAAAAAAAAAAAATTCTATAAAACAAAAATATGTTTCACTACTACAATAATTAATTAATATTTTATTAATAAATTATAAATAATAATTAAATTTTGTAAAATATATCATTTTTAATAAAACATTTTAAATATAATTATAAGATAAAGAATAATCATAAATTTATAATATTGTTAAGGGTAAAGTACATAAATCGTCTCCCGACTATAGGATGATATTTTGTTGAGTCATTCGACTATTAAAAGTTATAAAATGACTATTTTATAACTTTTATTAATCGAAAGACTTATAAAATAATACCCTATAATTAAAAGATCATTTTGTTTTCTTCTTTCATTCCTATTTTCTATCCAAATCGGAAGAGATAAAATTCAACGATTTACGAGATAAACTTTTGAAATTTAGATTCAACAATCCATGTGCAAAAGCTTTGTTGTTTTAAATGTTGAAAACAGGTTGTGGGACAATACTACCAAGATGTGGGCCGCTCCGATTCTCAAGGAGATGTAGATATCACCATAGGAGAAGCACTACAAGCCACCGCTCTTACATCAGGAGAGAAGCCGGTGGAATGGAGCGATGCTGCCGCAATACACGAGGCGGAAGTGAGAGCCACCGGTCGTAAAACCATAATGCCCGATGGCATCACCGCCGCGGCTCAGTCAGCTGCTACCCGCAATGCTAGAACAACTAGAGATGAGGATAAGACTAAATTGGGTGAAGTTCTCTCCGTAAGTAACCACAATCTACTAAGCCCTACGAGTTCCATTAGAATTAAAAACTCAACTTCGAAATCTGAATTCACAGGTAAAATAAAAATGGTTTGAATGATAAAATATTCCAACGTTGATTTTTTACCGATCACGCAACGAGTGTGTATGAAATTGCAGAATGCATCGACGAAGTTGGCTTCAGATAAGGGAGCAACAAGGGGAGATGCGGAATCAGTTATGAGCGTGGAGAAAAGGGATGATCCCAACTTCACTACACATCCGGCCGGCGTTGCTACTTCCATAGCGGCAGCGGTTAGGCTCAACCGCAGACAGCGTCCGGGATGAAATACAATAGCAGTATATACTGACACCTGCATGCATGTTTTTTTTTCTGGTGCTGCCATTAACCCTTTAGTAACAAGCTTTGTAGTTTTTAACTACCCAAAAGTTGACTTCAATCTACTAGTTTGCATTAACTTTTGTAATTACTTTCTTAAATATACCAATGAAATAATTAATAACTAAATGTTAAATTTTATTTTTAAAAAGAAAATTTAAATTTTTATAAATTTTCAATAAAAAATTGAAATTTTTAAATCTTTAATTTTTTTAAATAAAGTATTGTAGAGGTAAATATGATTTTTTCAACTCAATTTGTTATATTCGTAAATATCAGAATTTAAACTCCTGATCTTGTTTAAAGAATTATTCAGATAAAAAATTATTCATATAAGATGAATTTTTTCAATTTAATTTGTTTTATTTGCAAATATCATAATTTAAATTTTTAATTTTAATTAAAGATTGAGTATTATAGAGGTAAAGACGATATTTTTCAATTTAATTTGTTTCATTTGCAAATATCATGATTTAAATTTTTGATTTTATTTAAAGAATTACTCAGATCAAATATTGTGGAAGCTAATATGAATTTTTTTAATTCAATTTGCTTTATTTATTTAGACTTTTGATATTGTTTAAATAACTTAATTTACTCTATTTATAAAATACCAAGATTGAAACTTTTAAAGAACTTAGTGCTTTCGTTGCGGGTTAAATCTTTACATTTTTAAATTCATTGATCAGACTATGGGTGGAGACTGGAGATTCAAACAACGATGAATAAGTGATGATTGACCTATCTTATGCGATAAAATTAATAACTATATATTGTGGTTATTCTGTTTCGATCTGTGGAAGTTTAATTACAAAAGAAATAATCGAACTGATATGATAGTTGATGTCATATAAGACTTACAATTTAAAATTTTTGAGTAATTTAAGAATTTTAAGAGTTTTGTAGATTTAACGATTTAAATTTTTGTTAAAAATAAAATTAAAAGATAACTTAAATAATAACTAAATAAATTCTAAAATCTACTTTGATAAAAAAAATCTTTTCAAGTACTTTTTTATTAATATGAAAATATGAAGAAGTATAAGATAGTATCGATTCAAATATAATTTTTAATTATTGGATATTGAACGCCCACATTTTTACATTCATGGTGTTCGAATTTGGGACTCAAGAAATAAAAATAATTTCTCTACTATTAAGATCACTTGGTTCGTACAAACCCTTTCAAGTATCTAAATAAACTAGAAAAATGTTTTGATAAAGTAACAAATTGAAAGCCAACAACATCGCAAAACTGAATGTCCTCAGGTTACACACTACTTTAAATACAACAAAACTGGGGCTTTGTCCTACATTATAATATACAAACTATTTGTGACAAAATAACAAATGGAAAATCAGATGATCAACCTATTGAACCTCTCAATCAAACAAGCATGTTTTTTTTCTTCTTCAAAAACAGGAAGAAAGAGGAAAATGTTAAATGTATCAAGAGACTGTGATTACCTTTTCTAATGTCAATTGCTTTGCAATGAGTTTGAGCAAATCTTTCACCAGCTCTCTTACTCTCGCTTCCCTGCCCATCCAAACGGATCACCGTTCGGTTTAGTATGATGGCGGGAAAAGAAGTTGTTATATGGAGAGCTAAATAAATATATTTATTACTGTCACCTCGATACAACTAGTTCGGAGAGGGTGGGGAAAAGAACTAGCAGATGTGGTTGCTTCTTGTCGGAATTTCCTTCTGCTAGGATAGTTCTTAAATGCGGCTGCAGAGGAAGAATGGATGCAGTGTCGAAATGAATAACTATATGAGCCAGTTCCTGAAGGACGGATATTATTTCTTCAAGCCTTGTTGTTGGTAGAGGACGATCACCTGTTGGTAGATCAAAATTCAGGATTTCATACTTTATAGGCCAAGTGAACCTAAGGAACCTAAGTTCAACATTTTAGGATCTGATTGCAAAAGGAACTATACTTACCGATCTCCTTCTCATCGGCTAAAAATCTATTCAAGATGCATTCACATCTCATCATGAGTACCATGATCACAAGTTTGCTGACTTCAGATCTCGTCGAGTTCCAACTACCCCCTTCATCACTAAAGCTGTGGGAATGTAGACAAAAGATTAACTTTTATTAAAATAGACATAATAGTTACCTACGGATGATTAAATGATGTCTTAAAGGTACACTTATGAAAGGCTATAATTCATTCCAGAGGCAAGGAGATGATCGCAGCAAGATAAATTCTACGTTGCTATGATTCTTCAAGTTTTCTGAAATACGCATGACTAAAGCATATCCGGACATGGTATGTAAATATGACCTAGTGACATAGTATGAATGAGGCTAGTCTAAGTATCTAACTTGTTTCAAAAAACAAAGTTCTTGTTACTAGATAAAGGAAATTCAAAAGGTTTTTGGAATGCCATTAAAAATGTGGACAATTTTCCAGTTTGAAAAAAGAACATTTATGTACAATTGGATTTTCTATAGGAGAAGCCTGCAGTCGCACGATTTTGCTAATGGGATTGTGATCAGGCTTTATAATCTCATTACAACTGATAAAAGTAATTAGAGCAACATTGAACAAGATACAATACTAAATCATCTTGTATTACCTGCACAAGGAAAATAATGCCTGTAAGCATTTCAAGGAAAACCTGCTACAGTGAAGAGGCATAAGTCCTACAGTCTCAACAGGTAAAGAGCATGTACGAGACGCGCAGCGATCCAAGGTGGAAACAAGTCGTTGCAGAATCTGTTAACATATACAAAAGAGTTGGGACCTTGAGCCTTGGAGTAACACATCAAAAGTCGGCTATCTTAACTCAAAATGTAGAACTGATTTTAGGTGGTAAAAAAAAACAAAATCAAAACAGAGTAGAACCTCAGCTAACTATGGTTTATAAGGGGATTCCTTACCTCAATAGGGGCGTCAATCGAGGACTTAAGAATCTGCTCAGCCAGAATGTCTACAATGGTCATCTCAAGGGACTCATCATCCTTGAGAGCGGTAGGGGAGAGGGAATTGGGAGGAAGGGCACGTCCACAATAACCCACAAGAAATATTTCATAGACATCTGCAACTTCTTTCCATATACGCGATCTTGCTGGCTTACTAATTTTTGAATCTGGTTCACTGTCCACGGGTATTTTGCTGATATCATCAACAAGGATGCGATTAAAGCCTTTAACAGCTAATCTCCAAAGTGAACCCTCAGGATTGTCTCTTCTCGTTATCATTGACCTAACAAAACCAACAATTATTGAAACTAATAAAAGCAAATAAGTCTCTATAACAAACACAATAAACAGGTATAAAGGAAGATATTAGTTCTTTTGGCAGTTACCAAAATCAGATTCTATTGATTAAATGGATGCAATATTGATTACCTATGACTTACAAGATATAAAAACCTAGAAAATAGTATAAAATAATCACAATAGAAATATTGCGCATCTGCAAATGCAGTATCATATACCTCCCAAGGCTATGGATAACTTCTGGAAAAATGATGTACTTTTCAATTGCTGGAGCTTGTAGAACGAGATCAACCAGAACAGGAATAATCTTTTCCGCAAACAAATAACTGGGGATATTAAGTGTTGCTTCTTGAGCAGAACTGGAGGTTGGAGACAGAACTTCAGCCTTCTGGACAGAGGCTTCTGCAGAAAAAAGGCATAAATATAAGCTTCATTTTATCCATATATAGCCAAAGATATCTGGTCAACTGCAATACTTTTTCCTATACCTGGAGTAAGGTCGCTAGTACTAACATCTACTGCCTCCTCTTCCTCGCCCTTTGGAGGAGAATCTAGACCTGGAAATACTGTAAGAGTTCTCGTAGAAGAATGAGCCACATTGAAGAAAGGTGCTTGGCTGGACATAACATTGGCAAGACTTCCAGTACAGTCCGCAGCAGATGATGAACATGTCCCTGCAAAAGTGCAGCATAAATTCATCTATGTGAATACTACAAAATTTTCAAGGCTGTTTTTGGTTCAGGATTATTCAGCTTGAATATACTCAGCGATTAAGTGAGCTATCTTCCCTTCAACCCATTCGTATAGGGGGAGGCAATGCCAATGAGGCTCAAAGGCTATACAACTAACATGGTAACTGTTATGATAAACTCAAAGCCAAAATGACATTGAAGTATTGGAAGTTTATGCCAAGAACAAGGGATGACTCAAATAAATTATTCAAACAAAGAACCTGAGCCGGCCCATAGAAAATCAAGGTAAGAAGAGCTAAGGGAAGATTTAGCTGGTGTCAAACACAGTATGTGCACATTATTGCTGATCTTTGCTACATCTAGTAGTTGATTTTGACATTTCAAACTCCTCTCGTTTTTTTCAAGAGCAAAATGAGCTATTGAACAAAAAAATAAGCTTTGTTTATAAGACACTTACAAACTCATCTTCACAGTTGTCACTTTTTGTCACAGTCTTCTTGATTGCTAAACCAATTATTGCAAGCAACCGTGTGTACATTTGATTGTCAAACATCCTTTGTGCTTGCACATACAGTTCTCCTATCAAGTTTGAAGAAATTACAGAAGTGCATAAGCATATCCAAAACATGGTTTTTCATTGAGCTGGAAATAATGTAACAATTATCTTGTAATTAAATTATTAACCGATGAGGTGAAATGAATCGTACTATTGACATCAATAACAAGTTCATGCATTTTACTTTCTTTTGTAAATAAATTCAACTGAGATAAAAATCTAAAGCATTACCAAGACTAAGCAAGACCTCCTGCTTCACTTTGATAGTTGTACTGTAGTTTGAAGATTCTTGAATAAAAACCTCATACACATCAAGTACTGAAACAAGGTAAGGCATTGGCAAGTTCCCCTGAAAAAAATTGTGTTTACTTTTATGGAATAAGTGAATATTTTAGCAAGGTTTTGAGGAGATCAAATGAAACTAACTTCATAATACGAACTTCCACTACAGAGAACAAAGTTTTAGAAGCACCTTGCTGCAATGACCAAGCACAGTTGTCTGTAAACAATTTATCGCGGCAAGAGAAACTTCTTTACTACCATTGAAAATGCTATCTTTTATAATGAGAAGCAAAGATTCCCACCCTGCAGAAATAAGTGAATTTATTGGGAGATCTTCGCAAAATGGAAAAAAAAGTCGGAAAAATGAAACTACTGATACATCAAAGTAACCAAATAATGGCCATACCTGACCAGAAATTGTTTATGTTTCTGAGGAAAGGAAAGAAAGAACGCAACAATCGAGCTATTCCACTGAAAACTAGTACAAGTGTCTCATCCCATTGTTTCTGAGCTGTGTTCCGACTACATTTATTTTAAGGATTAGAAAGTCATATAGCAAGAGAAATGACTGTCTACAATTACAATAAAAGAACGTAAACTAAGTACATATGTATAGATATGCAGCCAGATTTATTATATTACCTATGATGAATAAGCATGTGAACTGCTTTTCCTCCTCGAATTCCAAGTTCTTTCCCTTGCCATTCATCCCTTGATGAAGTTGCTGCCTGCAAGCAAAATCCTTGAAGCATGTTTACACAATAAAGTGAAAGTCTTAACCTATCCTTTACTGCTTTACAGCTTATTAACCTACCATATGGGAAACACGATCTAATGTTGGGAAAACATAATTCCAGAGACAGTCCTCCCACATGCTTTCCGAAAGTTTTTGCCCATGACCTCCAAGAATTTGAAAGAGTGTCCTGATAGCTGAATTTCTAACCTACAATATATATTAAATTTAACATAATTAAAGGAATTACATATTCATTGACAACCAAAAGCCAGCTTCAGTCCAAAAAAAACCAGCAGGAAGATTTTACAAGTTTTGGATACGGAGATAGAAGGTAAATAACACAAAGTATAGCAGGAATTAAAAATGTCAAAAGAGAATAAATTTTCTTGACAAATAGCTCTTGTCCAAGTCCAACCCCGTTGTTAAAGGGTATCACTAAAACCTATTATTTGAATCCATCAAACTACAAGTTAAACCTGAGAATCTAGTCAATTCCTAAATGAAATATACATCTTTGATAAACCAGCTTCTTACGAAGAAACTAAGCCTGTTAAGAAACTACCAACCGCAAAGCACAAATCCTAAGCATGTACATTTACATAAATATATTAACATTTTTACGCAAGGTCACCTCTTCAAGAAAAGGACTTTCCACTAGCCACATATCTAATGTGGACTGTCAAACATATCTCACCATGAGCAGCATAGACATAGATATTACCTAATTACAACATTTTCATTCATCTGTTCATTTTCTAGTTGCTAGGTTCGTTAGCACCTAGCACCGGTTGATGTGTATTGTGTGAAATGGGAATTGCAGAAACAGAAATAAAACATAGACATCATTATAACAGGAAAGTTATTGTACCTCTGGCCTTTCATCAGCTCCAAGTTTTTGAAGCAATGAGAAAACAGTGACTATCAACTTATCTCCGCTCACCATATTGACTGAGGAAGAATGCCTGTTCATGTCATTGGATATATTGTCAGGCTGCTCTTCCCCATTTTGACCATCCATTTTATCTGAAACAGAATTAACCTCTGCAATTTCTGCAGTTGTCTCTAGAGTGTAAATCAATACTACTCGCAAAAATATGCTATTAAAAAAAGATGAGACAAAATTATAATGGCATTTTACCTGTTTCCTTCTCTTCTGCAGGCTCATGTGACAATCCCTTCACAATGAAGTCTGTTGTAGTCCACAATAACCCAATTGCAGTCAAGCTTATATTCAACTCGGTTTTTTGAGCACCATATGCTCCAGTAACATCAATGCATCTGCAGTTTACAGATGCATATTTTGTTACCCTCAATGAGTTATTAAACATTAGTATTGCACATATTCATCTTCCAATGGTCAAAAATATCTTGTAAAAAAACCAATAAAGCAGTAAAAAATTTAATCACCCAGGATCTTACTCAGTGAGGTAGTTTGGAGGTATGGATGAAAGTCCATCATTCATAATTACACGCAGGCTCTATATGATAAAAGAAAAAGTTAGATTGAACTTACTTTATAGAACAAACCACAATGCCTGTATTTATGTGCTTGCATAACCAAGGAAAGATGTTTTCAGAAGATCAATATAATTTTCCCCAACACTTCTCTGGAAAAGATTCACTAACCTGGAAACCCAGGGTGACAAGATCCTTTTCAGACGCACCTGCAACTGACCTAAAAGAGTGGAAAAGCAGAGATGACCGACAAAACAGAACCAGACAAAAGGAAGAAAATTACCAGAAACCTCAGAATACATACACCCACCCCAGTGGTCAGACCTTTATGGACAAGGAAAAGATCAACTTAAAAGTGTAAATAAACAGCAGTGTAGAAGGTCAAACCTCAACAATACAAGTATATCAGGCCAACTGTATCGCAGTTTTTCTCCGCACCTCTGGAAACCGATTGTAATTTAAAACAAAATGAGCATAGTTAACATGTAACTAATATTTTAATCAGTTTCACTGCAGTAGCATATACCTCCAAGACATGCAGTAGAATTTTCAACGACCCGGCACGAGCATCAATGCTTTGAGAAGAATATAGGACCCTCAGAGGAGATATGACAGCAGATTCAAGCAATCTTAATTCTGTTTCATTACTTCCTAACTACAGAGGGAGATAGGCGGGGGAAGAGAGAGAGGAGTAAATTTATGCAACAGTAATATATATTAACACAAACACACATAATCCTCAAATCATATAGTTAATCCAGTCAAAAGAAGGCAGAAGTTCTCACATCTTGAGAATTGTCATCAGATCTGGACAGTGTGTGATCTTCAGACTTTTCAGAACCTAAAACGGCACAAATTGATTGATCCAATGCATCAAGTGCCATGTTTCTCAAATTCTGATTAGAATTGTCAGCAAGCTGCAGCACATTGTTTTGCGTCATGAAAGATCTAAACACTAAATAATGCTAGCATTACTCATTGAATGAAGAATACAGTTATGATCACCTCAAGAAAGTGGCCAACAACTTGATCCCACAATGGTAACACACCTGTACCAGGAAAAAATCAATAAAAAGTTAAGCCAACTTTTTCTTCACATTGAAGAACCTTTTGGCAGTTATGCTCTTCAAAGTTAAGTTAATCACAACATAAGCATATATAACAGATAAATCTCCAAATACCCAAACATGGGAAGATTTGTGAATATTGATATGAGGCATGAACCTCTGATAATTTCATCTCTCGACTTATGATTATGAAACATCAAAAAACATCAGCAAAACCATACTACTTACGGTGAAGATTATTGACAAGGACGGATATCATTCTTTCAACTGAAAAACTGATACTCCCAATTTTCTGACTTGTTGATGGTCCAAAACCACTTGAAGTGTCAAGCATACATTGATGAGACAGTTGACAAAGTGCAGAAAGAAGTGACTTAACAGCAGATATGTTCATAAGTGCTGAGCTCTCAAACAGCTTTCAAGAAAAAAATGTCAGGTTAGACTAACACCTTATTATTACTTATTTACAAGATAGACAGGGGAGTGGCAACTAAAACGAAAAATGGAAGGAAAAAAATAAAACAGGTAATTCTAAATATTCTGGAACACCATGCACTTTTTACATTGCATTTTTAGATCTTCAAAACTTGGATTGACTACATAAGAGAACATGGACAAAAGGAACAGTCAAAGTCTAAATTTTACATTAGTACTCCCCAAGCCTTTAACAGCTATTATCCCACTAACAAAATAATAATAATAATAATAATAATACTTGTTTATAATACCTGAGAATTTAAAGAGGAAAGAATACTGAAATCACTGTATTGGCCGGAAGATGTTGTTGAAAGTCTTGGCACAGATGTGGAAACTTCCTGTGGATACAAAAAATAATAAATTCTAACACTTTTATGAGTGTGTTGAAATAAAACTCTGTTCAAGTGCCAGAAATCCATGTGAGGATTAAAACTTCAAAAAATAATTTCAAGAACCCCAAGGCCAAATGAGTTAAGGAAAAACAAGGCACCAGCAATAGAGCAAATATTGCTGATTCCAGAATAATGCTGTGAATTATTAAATAACAAAAAGATGGAGACAGGGTGTTACTGAAAAAATTACACCTAAAAAAGTGTCCCAACTTACCTGTGTGGTGGCATGTGGCGAATGGATTGCTCTGTCCAGAGAAGACAAAGTTTCCAACACCTACATTTATTTGTCATAAACAATCATTGCTTTGAATTCTCTCTGATTTCAGAAAGATATAAAAACCAGACCAACATACCAAAACCCAAGATGGGCCCAACACATTATGTAGTCGATGAGCAATATTGAAGAGAGTCCTCAAAGCCTGGGTTGTAAGACCAATTAGTACCAAGTAACTAGCTCAAAAAAGTATTTAAATTGTTATATGATCTAGAAAATTATTAACTGAATAGACCATACTCACAAACTATTCATAATACCTGCACATTCTTCGGTGTTAGGACAATGTTATCTCTCTGATCAGAAATCATGTCGGAACGTTTTGATCCAGGAGATAGTAATGCACCACTGAAATATCAATTTTAAGATTTTTCAGAAAGCTAGCACAACCTCTAAGAGGATAAACTATAAACATACGCACAATAAATTAAGTGTGCTAAACAATTTCCTAAAATGTTTTAAAAAATGCCAAACAAGATGCATTAGATTAGATTTCCGAAAGTTGGTACCAAGCTTATTTTTCTTAGAAGGAGGGAAGTTAGACCAGACTGACTTATTTTTCTTAGCAAGATTTAGGCTTGCTTCTTGGTTCTTAGCCAAGTTTAAAGATTTTTCTATTCCTAAGGACTCTGTAATAAGTGACCCCACCCTAGGGGATTTTTGTTCACCCGTTAACAAATCTATCATCATTAAGTTCCCTTGGTTCCCTCCTCCTAAGGGTTTCATTAAAATGAATGTGGATGCAGCAACCAGCAGTGACTGGAAGAGAAGTGGATTAGCTGGCATTTTAAGAGATGATGCAGGTTCGATCTTAGGTTCTTTCCAGGAGGCTTCTGGCCCGGGTCCACCTACTTTGACGGAGCTAAAGGCTGTTCAAAAGGGTTTATCTTTCTTTGATTCTTTGCAAGGATGTATTAAGGGTCGGTTGATAATTGAAACTGATTGTAAAATGGCAGTGGAATGGGTTAAGAATGTTGAAAAATGTCCAGATGTGTATGTAGTAATTGTCAAGGACATTGCTGATAGGATTAAAGACTTGGAGGATGTAATTAGATGGGTTGCTAGGACAGCTAATATAGAGGCAGATGGCTTAGCTAAGGCTGGAATAGGCTAAGCACAGTGTTGTTGTTAGGGGTATTTGTTTTTGGGTTTTAGGGTTGTTTTGTAAGGGGGTTATTCTAGATGTTTTAAATTTTACGCATCCTTTATATTATTAATGAAGTCTAAGTCAGTCTTTTCCTCCTTCCGCTGATTAAGGAACTCCTCGAAGAGTTCCATTAATCATGAAGGGGGTTTTTAACGAGGCCTTCAATTCTTATAAAAAAAAAAATTATTCTGAAGAGAAACCCAAAAGTCAACACTGGGAACAAATGTAAGAACAAAACCAAACTACCATCATTGTTGTCTTCAAAAACTAACATTAGCATCTTAGATTTATAAAAGGACCAACATCATCTAAACTGTATTTGGAAGCTTTATCATGACTTTTAATGAAGGAATCAAGGGGAATTTTGCTTCTTGCTTCTCATTACCAAGGAATTGTTGGGTCTCTTGCAAAGTTATCGATTACATCTTTTATATCAAGCTACCCAGTTTTCCATATTTTACTGCTGACAATACTGCTTTTGATATTTATGTTTCAAACATTTTCCAAAAGCATTATACTATTTGCAAGACTATTAGCTTAATCTGCCAGATGTTTCTAATGAAAGCCATCTTCTCAGAGCGCTCTCCGTCCAGATGTTTCTAATGGAACATATTGGGCCTCTTTCATTCCATGGCTCAGTTACTAGTCAACTTGATAGCAGTAGTTTAGATTTCAAAAAGCCTTAAAAGAAAATAAGGCACTCTTAAGCAACAATGAGAACAAAGATTTCTCTTATTTGATGTTCTTTTGAGTGTTCTTGTGGCAAGAAAAGAAGGGGAAAAATTAACAGCACTATCTTAAAACCGATTATGAATACCCTACAAAGGGGGATTTAGGAGGAAGTGGACAGGGTATTACTTTTGAAACTACAACCTCTACACTACACCCCACTCCACCCAAGGAGAAAAAGGGAAACAATCTTTACAAAAATCAGAAACCACTGTAATCATTAAGACATACCTTTTTCTTTCCACTTCATTTGTAAAATTGATAGTAAATTTGCAAAGTGATGCTAAGAAAGAATTTAAAGGTTCTATGGCATGAAGAACTCCACATGCCTGCAGAATAGTCAAAAGGGTTCAGCAGAAACAATCATCCTTCATCAGAGCATCTAAATAAATAGTGTACATTAGAAAATATAGGCCATTACTATGAAGAACAAATATTAATAATTAGACAGTGACCATGAGTGTAAACAACTACGAGCTGCTTTTGCAAGAACTAAAACCACAAATTAGCCAACCCATAGGTAATGAAATTTAGCTGAGCTGATAGAAACAACAGTCAAAATTGGCAGACACAATTTATGATTTATTATGTGATATGGGGTTACCTGAGTAAATGCCTGATACCCTTTTAATATTTCCAACACAATAGCCTCTCCTTGAGACCTTCAAAGTAAAACAGAATAAGAATGCATACAAACCTGGTTTTGCGAGAGAGGGATAGAGAGAGAGAGAGAGACAAAAACACAAACTCAGAAAGAAAAGTCACCCAACCTTGCTAAAATAAGGGACAGAGCATCAAGAATTGTCAACCACAACGAATCAACCATTGAAATACAGAGAACTGCAGTTTTTCCTGTACTTTTTGCTGAAGGTACATAATCGCTTCTAGGAGATTCAAGCTGCTTGTATCAAGAGAATAGAGAATTTGGTAAAACAGGCAAAGCATACAATATTATATAAAGACGGGACATATTCTCACTTACCTCCCCGACATCCACAGCTTCATCAGTCAGTGAAGCTACAGTAAAGACAACACCTAGCAAACCTTCAATTGCCAAAGAAATTGCGTGTGCCTCACTAGCAACCAGGACCGCATTATTTGATGCATCATTGTCAAGACTCCACTCAATTCCTGGTGGTCACAAACCGAAATCACACAGTAATAAAGTCACTTATCAAGAAACTAGGGAATAAATATGTCTATATGCCAAAGCATTATTAACAGAGGAAGAATCTGATACATCAATCCATGTAACTCTAGGTAACAGATGGACATCTCTCAAGTCTAAAAACTCACTATCTACATAAATTTTGAGCTATACAATGTGTTCTATGAAACCATTATAACCTAGGAGATTTCTATTGTATTCAGAAAAATGACCACCAATGAAATCATTTTCAGATTTTTCAACAAGATCATTCTTTTACCGATGTATTTTGCAGATGATAAGTAACTAAATAGCACGGTTAAGAACCCAAGAGGGTGGCACTGCTGGAGAATCTCATTTCTAGAAATAACAATCCATTGCCACTTAAGCAAAATGAACCATAGAAGCCGCTAACCACATTTGCAATCACTGTTCTCTGATCCATGAAATTACCTCCTTTCCTGCTTCCAGACAGGAAGATGAGCATATTTCATATTTTCAGCATTCTACATTCTAGCAATTTTAATTCCAACTAATTGCAAATGTGGAAAAGAAACCGATCATCTTTTATCTTCTCTCTTTTAAAAAAAAAAATAGAAATTCTATTATCCCATCAAATGAATTGTGACATCAAGTACAGCATATGAATATCAGTAGGGTGATCAAAACTGAAAGTAAGAGGATCAGTACAATGAAGTCTGATTTTTGCAAGGTCATGCTCTACACAGTTCCCAACACAATTTACATAATCTTTGGAAAACAGTGGCTTTTCTGAATTCCAAAGTTTCTTGATTAAATGCAAAATGAAACAAAAAAAAAAGTTCTTTAAAAGAAGAATAGGGTTTCCTATGGTGAAACAAATTATAAAATAAAGAATATCTTTAGTTTATCGTTTTATGTGCAGATGCCAAGGATAAACATATCCGACAGTGCCAAAGAACATTGGAAAAGATGAACTACAGATCCAAAATTTAAAACAAGAAAGAGGGCACCTTACCTTTAGCTTTGCTACTGAACATCCCTGCAACTGCTGCCAGGCTCTCTTCACTTGTCTCAAGAAACTATCAGAAAGAAAATGATGTTAGAGTGTTTAAACATGTATTTAGGGATCTTAATTGTACTACAAGTTCTCAGAGTTGAAAATCTAAACATAAAAACTCAAAACGAACAATTAAAAAAGCAGTTATCATAAGTTTTTTTTTATAGAATATTAGGCCTCGTTAAAAACCCTCGACTTGCCCTCCATATTACAATAGTAACATGAAGGACAAAGGAAGAGGGAAGAGTGCCTACTACTTTTATTAATCAGGAGAATAATACACTGCCATCCCTTACATCATACTTTAAAAGCCTTAACCCTAATTACATAAGACTTAAACACCTCTTCTTGCTGAAACCTTAACACTGATTACATAAGACTGAAAACAAAATCCCTGCAGAAATGTAAGGGAGTCTAGCACCCTAACACACCAAAAACAAAGCCTACAGATCATCCTATACCATCCTTAGCTAGTCTGTCCGCTTCCCAGTTAGCAGCTCTCAAGATTTGCCTTAACGTAATATCCTTCCCTTCTATTATAGAAACGATCTCCTTCACCAAGGATAGAAATATAGAGGAGCTTAGTTTCGGATTCTTGATCCACTTCAAAGCATTAATTGAATCCGATTCTAAAATAATCCTCTTATTAAGACCAACACCTGAATCAGACAACATGTACAACCCCCTCTTTATCACCAATAATTCTGCCATAATCGGAGGTTCCCCCCAACCTTATCAGAGAACCAGTGAATCAAAATACCTCTGCTTTCCCTTATGAGTCCACCTATACCACCTTTATTCCAACCATTCACCATCGCCCAATCAACATTAATCTTTATGAACCCGTCTGGAGGAGGAACCCAACAAGTAGGTTGGGATCCACCTTTTTTCTGTCTATCAACCGAATCAGCAAGAGTTAAGTCACCCACTAGGGAGTCCAAAGGGATATGCACAGCGTCAAAACTAACAGCAAACCAAGAGACTATTCGAAATCTAGCAATAAAGAACATCCTCACCACATCCATCTTTTCTTTCATGAAGATAACCTCATTCCTACATTTCCATATAGTCCACAACACCGCCCTTAGGATAAATTTCCAAATACTGGAATTCTATAATAGCTCATCCCACATAATAATAAAGTCTAAGATGTTATTAGGAATCACCAAAAAAACATTCCACAAATTCGTAAATCTAGCCCACAAACCCCAAACTACCTCACAGTGTAGAAAAAGATGAGAAACAGATTCCACAAACCTGCCACACAACGAACATGAAGAGTCTTCAATCCCAACCACTCCTCGCTTCAACAATTCCTCTTTAACCGCCACTCTCTGATAAGCAACTTGCCATATGAAAGTTTTAACACGTGGAGGAGCTATCCCGACCCAAATATGTTTGTCCCATTTAGCCTGAATCCTCTGATTACCAGTCGTATCAAAAAATTGTTAATACAAGACTTAGTTGAAAAACATTCCTCTCCATTCCCTAACCAAATCCAGTAATCGTCCTCATCAAGAGATAGTGAGATGTTGCTCAACATAGAAATCAGCTCCAACCATTGTTCAATCTATCCACCAGATTTCTTCTCATTTGAATATCCCACACCCAACCTGCAGCATTGTTCACCCTAAACTCCACCACTTTACCCACTTTATTATTCGAAAGTGCATACAATGTAGGAACAAGTCTTTAAGATGGACTTCTCCCAACCAAACATCATGCCAAAACTCCACAGAATGATCGTTTCCAGCTTTCAAACGCAAATTTCTCCTAATGCAATCTCCAAACTCATCACTAGAAAAGAAGTTATTAATCACTCCTCTGCAAATCCAAGAGGCTCGAGCTGTCGAAGTATTCCCCAACATTTTGGAATTCAGATCCAAATTGTTCACACAACAAGCCACCCTCTTCCACAAAGAATCCTTTTCAGAGGCAAACTTCCAAACCCACTTTCCCATCAGTGCTCAGTTCAAATAGCTAAATTCGGGATCCCTAGACCCCCCAACCTTCTCGGCTTACTGACCAAATTCCAGTTCACCCAATGTATGTTTCGTCTATCTATCGAACCCCCCCATAAAAATGCAGCCATGATCGAATTTAATTTCTGCAACACAGTTTCTAGAATTCTAAAAATAGAAAGGAAATAAGTGGGAAGGGAGCATAACACTACTTTAACCAACACCACCTTACCTACTAACGCTAGAGAGTTTACCTTCCAACCAGACAACTTATTATGAAATCTCTGCACTATTGGCTCCCACATTGCAACAGAGTTTCTCTTGGACCCCAAAGGCAATCCTAGATACTCTGCTGGAAAATTACCCACTGAGCAGCCAATTTCATTAGACCAACCAGCTAGCACCTCCTCCTCAACATTTATTCCAAAAATTATGCTCTTAACTAAATTAATCTTCAGCCCCACCAATAACTCATAGATCAGTAACACCCTTCTAATATTCTTCAAGTCCCGGATTGATGCTTTGGAAAAAATAATAAGGTCATCCGCAAACTGCAAATGCGATAGCTTGAAAGAACTTTCTTGAACTCCTAACTCAAAGCCCAAAAACAATCCCATATCCACTGCTTTAGTTAACAACAAATGACGCAATTCACCACCCAAATTGAATAACAAGGGGATAGCGAGCAACCCTGTCTAAGTCCTCTTAAAGTGTGAATTATGTCCGTAGGAGTACCATTTAGTAAAATTGAAATAGAAGCAGTTGACATACACTGATACATCCAAGAGCACCATTTTTCACCAAACCCCATTTTACCCATTATTTTCAACAAAACCAACCAATCTACCGAATCATAGGCTCTCTTGAAATCCACCTTAAAGACTACCCCCTCCATCCCTCTCTTCCTCCAAAAATCGATTTCTTCATTGCTATAAACGAACAATCCAAAATATTCCTTCCTTGAATAAACGCAAATTGAGATGGACTAATTATCTCATTAATGCACAATCTGAATCTTCTAGCTAGGACCTTTGACAAAATTTTATATAAACCTCCCACAAGGCTAATAGGCCTAAAGTCCTCCATCCCCTCCGGATTATCCTTCTTAGGTATAAGGGAAATAAAAGAATGATTCACCTCCATGTCCCATTCCTTCCCCACATAAAAGCCCTTAAAAAACAACATAATATCCTCTTTCAAAGAAGACCAGAATTTCTTAAAAAAACCTAAATTCAGACCATCCGACCCAGGAGCTTTGTTGCTGTCCGAGTTGGCAATTGCTTCCCAAACTTCCTCCTCTGAAAATGGCTTCTCAAGTGCTAAACTCTGTCATACCGATAATTTTAGAAAATCCAGATCTAATTCCTCAGCCTCCAAAGAATTATTCTGACTAAACAGACCATTAAAAAACTCCACCACTGAAGCTCTTATTAAGGTAGGATCTTCTACTGCTTCATTACCCACTTTGAGGGACTTAATACCATTTTTTCTTCCTCTAACTGCAGCACTATGATGAAAAAATCTGGTGTTCTTATCACCATCCATTTTCCATTTCAGTCTTGATTTTTGCAACCAAATCGATTCTTCTTTCTTTTGTAGCTCCCATAGTTCTTTCTTTGCTTCAATTATTGATTTCATTGACACCGAAGGAAGACCTTGTTGCATTTCCAATTCCAGATCTTGAATTCTTTTCTCCAATAATCTGATTTTTCCCGATAACTCTAAATAACCCCTCCCAGACCATTTCTTTACCACACCCTTCACCCGCTTTAGCACCTTAGACATGGGCTTCCCTTTTTCCTCTTTACAAAGTTTAACTAGCTCCTTTTCCATCATCTCACTAAACCCATCCTCCTCCAGTGCATAGTTAAACAGTCTGAACGGTTTCTGCCCCCAATTACATTCTTTGTTCTCCAACAGAATAATGTTGTGATCTGAAACAGACCTTGGCTGCAATGACTGACTTATCTTTGGAAAACAAGCTAGTAATCTCTGATCAACCAAAAATCGATCCAACCTCTCAAACGTGGGAGCTTCCCTATTATTACACCATGTAAAACGACCTCCAGACAAAGGCAAATCAAACAAATTGGCCTTACTCACAAAGTCTCTAAACATATTCATTGTTACCGAATTCACAGCCCCTCTTTCTTTCTCTTCCTGTGACAACACTGCATTGAAATCTCCTCCTAAGCATAATGGACAGTCAACATTATCCAAAAATGATAATAACTCCCTGAAAAACGTCTTTATATGCATCCACACTAGGGCCATACACATTAATAAAAAACAACTTCCTGGTACTCCTTCCAAAGTCCCTTTTATTACTACGAATCTACTATTAATGACTACATCCTTCACCACAAACTCCTTCTGATTCCACAAGGTTATTAGACCACCAACAGAGCCAATAGCAGGAGATATCGCTGAACCAGTAAGTATTTTACCCCCATTTTCCTCACCAACATATGACTGACAACCTCTAATTTTGATTCTTGCAAAAATACAATTGTAGGTTTCTTCTCATCAACAAATCTCCTAATTGCTCGAGCTTTCACCCTTCTACCCAACCCTCTAACATTCCAAGACAACATTGACCACTCAACCATCATTAACATACAATAACCTTACTTCCCAGTTACAACTACCTTCCCTCTTCCGAGTTCCTTTCATTAACCATAGGAACCATTTTGTCCATAAAAGCTTTCTCTCCTCCTTTGATCTTCACACCCAACAACTTGGAAACATTCCAAAGCCTCTGCCACCCCCTCTGTCTCATTCACTGCAAAGGATTTAGACTTCTTACCATTGCAACTCTTAACTTCCCACCTCCTGGAATATACATTCTTATAAAAACCTCTCTCGATTTTACTTACTGACGCACATTTCCCAGAATGACGACGCATCACCGGTGAGACAGACCCGTTCTGCAACTTTAAAACAACTTCTTCAACATTAGTTACTTCTACAGAATTAATGGCAACAATATTTGATCTTAAGTTCTCTTGAACTGGCCCATTTGTTAGACTCCTATCCATGCTGGTACTAAGCCCATTTTCTTGAGCAACCGTGTCCTGGCCCAATATGATATCCCCAATGCTCCTCTCATTTTCTCTCCCTTCATTAAAATCCTCTGACACTCCCTGTTGACTGGGAACACCACCTACTACTGTCTCCTCAGAACAAAAGTCAACATCCAACATTTTGTTAGGGCCTACTTTTCCTTTCAAATTTCCATCGATAAGCGTATCATCCCCTTGTTGAGCACCCCGAACCCATGCTTCAACCCTGTCCTGAGAATCTGACAAGGACTGCTGCCCCAACTGCTCTTCTTGTCCTTCCTGAACATCCCGTTGGCTCCAGTCCGATGAGTTCTCCTCCCAAGGATCCACTGTTCCGTCTTCTTCAACCATATCATCTAAGACCGAAAAAAATCTTCACTCCCTTCCACCTTAATTTTAATGGTAAACGATCTTCCATACGTATTGACGGAGACCAAAGAAGGAATATCAAAAGGACTCTCCACCCTCAACAACAAATGTGCCACTCTACAATCCGTTTTCTGAACTGTTTGCTCCTGGATCTTCACTAGCTTGCCCCATCTCGATGCCAAGTTTGTAAAGAATGGAACCGTCCAACAATTTAACGGAACACCTATTAAGGAAACTGCACAATAGGCTAATGGGACACAATTCTCATCCACAACAGATTCCAACCTTTCGAACCAGAAGGACAATTCCTCCCACTTATCTTCCATCGCTGCTTTTTTCTCCTTCACTGAGTGAAAGACAATCAAACATGCATTTTTTGCATATTTCCATCTTACCACCTTGACATTGAAACCCTCAGTCCTTAATGCCCTCTGCACAAATTCTACTTCAAAAATCCCCTTACAAATTCCTGTTAAAGACGACCTTAGCCATATCCTCTCCTCCATTGGAATAAACACTTGCAGAGACTTTTTCACCTCCCTCTTATCTCCAACGTTACTCATCTACTGGCCATCAACTTTTTTCACCCCCAGTACTGTATCCTTATATGTCCTACCATCATGAAACTTGTTTAACAGCTCCTTCTTCCCTACATCATCCACTATGGGTATTGGTTTTTTTCTTTTTGTCTCCTCTGCACCTGCATCTCTTGACCCCACCACAATATTTCGCTTCAAGTTCCTTGCAGCACTATTCCTCTGATATTTTGCAATCGACACCATTACCCTCCTCCCATTGATCACTACGTTATTCATACGCTCCACTGCCTTCAGCAAATCCTTCTTACTTGCAAAATGCACAAAGGCAAATGTACTGACCTTATAGTTGGGTCTCCTATTAACAAACGGAATAAACACCTTAATCACCTTGCCATGAAAACTAAAACGTTTCCATAAAGAACTTCTATGCACTCCCTTACTGAGATTATCTACGAACGCTACCCACGGAACTCCTCTTGACTCCGCTCTACCTCTGTCTAAAGAAGTATTCCCTTCGAACTCTACGTTCACTCTCTCTCTAGCTTTCTTACTCATTGTAAACAACTTGGCCGGATGTGAGATACTAATTGCAGTGCTAATTTCACGGTAAAGCAATAACCGAAAAAAGAAATTGTGGCAGGGGCTAAGTGAGGGAAAACATTGCATCACACAAAGACCAGAAAATGCTACAAAAATAAAATACAAAATTTCAAATAATACACCTAGAGACAATCACATCCGTGTGAATATAAAATCAAAAAATTGACATAACTGAAACTTAATGAAAATTAACAAATAAATCACCTGCACACTTGAAACAACTCGAGCAAGGGCTTTAACCATACCCTCCACGACATTTGTGTTCTTCGGATGCCTAAAAAGTGAAGTCATGAGATTACTCTTATTTTCCAAAAATTAACCATCTAGTGAAGAAGGGGCAGAGGAAAGAAACATGATAGATGATCAAACTTTGATGACATTTGAAATCAAGTAATAAATGACTTTCTATAAAAAAAAAAGAGGAACAAATGACTTGTTGATCTTTGAATCTAATCAAACCAAAATAAGCACTGACATCGGGAAACTTGTGAAATTGGACATTAAGAAAGATACTGAGTTCAAATTCACATCAAATTTGGCTAATAACACAACTACAATATCAGCCTCATGAGACATGGACTTTGCATGGGGATACTTTCATGGATTTGACCGAACTTCATAAAAGATACATCTAATATCCCGAGGATTAATACTGGTAGATATGAACTCAGTTGGCATTCAGAAATGACATAAAATCACTGTCACAAAGAGTACATTATGTTCAAAGCACAAACCTGAAATAAATAAATAAAACGAGGAAACAACACTCTGTAGAGTGAAGAAACATGTATGCAACCAGACATAGAAAAAGGTGGAGGTACTGAACATACATATCAAAGTTATGGAAAAGGATCCGTAATGTCTGTGCTTCCACACAAAAGCCCTGACAAATTCCATATCCAAGATTAGAAAAATTTAAAATTTTAAACAATTTCTAAATAAATCATAAAAGGAAAATATGGCACATCTAGGTTGTTGAATTTACCCTTAAGATCTCAAGAACAAGAATTCGATGCCATAATGGCAGATCAAGAAAAGTTAATTTGATCAGCATGCTAAGGAAAACCTGTATACCATAAGACCTTGGAATTAGGAGTTCAAATAAACAGAGTCGAAACTGAATGGAAATAACATTAAAACAAAGGATGTGGTTGTTTTAGCATAATAGATACAAGTATTAAGCCAAAATAAAATTTAAAACAATGGAATAGTAAAGAGTATGATAATAAAACTATTAGTATATCAACTAAATTATGGAACCTTTTTACTACTTGTCCTAAATTCCTGTACCTAGTTACTCGATCCTCAACTCAGAAGAAATGAATTAACTTTCTTATCGACATTGAATCCTTTGACTCTACTTAGGATTTCCCACCTATCTAAATCCTAAAATTACAACATGTTCTAGCTAAATTGCTGAAAGGTTTTATTTTTACCTCCATCTTATCTCCTACAGCAGTATATAATTCAGAGAATGTCAAAAAGACATAAATACAACATACCTCACATTCAGTAATAGAGATGAACTATAGAGTCTAATTATATGAGCAACAGATCGTAAGACCAATCGACGAAAATATGGCTCTCCTACTTCTCCTTCAAGCTGAATGGACATTCAACAAATAGAAATGCCCAAATAAATTCATGAAATCCCTTAAAAGGGAAAAGCTCTGGAGGCAAGAGATGGATTTCTTCACAAGAGGATAGAGAAGTTACCTCATAGTTGGTTCGAAGTGAAGTCATTAAAAGTGAACATATTTGGTGCCGCAAGACCTGTTCAAGTACCATGCAAACTTTACAACTATAAAAGTCCTACTAGCATGCTTAGACAAAATATAAAAGGATGTTTTCAGTCAGATAATTCTGTTATCACCTGTTCATAAGGAACCAAAATCTTGAAAATAATCACATAATTGGATAGGATGAACCTACAAAACACAAGCATTAAGTGCAAATGTCCATGAAGAAACTAGAAGTTAAAATACATAAAAAAAGTAGAGGGAGAGACAGATATCTCACTCAAGTATATCAAGTGCAAATGTCCGTTGAAGAGAGCTAACACGCAACCAACATGCCTGCATGGCATAACAAAGTAATCCATATAAGAAGCTCTGTTCTATTTTGTCATTGTTAGTGATGAAATGCAATCAGTTCAGGGAACCATTAAAAGGATCATACATTCCCAAAACCCACTAGTAGTCAATTCTAGATGAGCAATCTGGCTATAAAAACAAAATCTAACATTCTAAAATTAACACATACAGATCCACCTGCAGCAAGAGCTGTCAAGTCTTCAAGCAAACGAAGCCCAAGCTTCCCAGAAGTAGTTGTGGTCTCCCTCATCAATGATGACTTTCTTGAATCAAAGTTGTTTTCCAACCTATTAATGATTGATTAGTTCAGATGTCGAAGAGCAAAACCATAGACATTTGAAAAAACAACATAAATAAGAAATAAAAGAGTATCTAATTGGATAAGCATAGGTACAAACAAAAAGGTACTAATTGACACATGTATGCACACACACAATATACCAAATATGACATATGTGCAGGACAAACATAAATATGGGAGAATCTAACAGAACGGTTTTAGGAAAGCAGAAAACCCACAAAAACAACATACTCTGAATTATTCATACTGCGAGTAACATCATTTGTAACTGAGCTTGTTCGAGACATATAACTTCCAGAACCAAACTTTTCGGGTGGAAGAGACTCGATGAGGACAACATGTTCAAAAACCAAAGCTACCGCCTGCCTGAAGGTAGCAGCAGCAGTACTGAAAAAAAAGGATTTAGATGAAAAGGACAAATCAGTAAAAAGGGAGGGGAACATCACTATCAATACAAAAGTCTATGAATGAGGTTTCAAATTGAAAAGTCTTAACCTATAGAGCAACTTACTTCCGAACACTGTCAGAAGATCGGTTGTTTTCAAGAAGTTGAAGACAGATTCCAAGAGCTTGAGCCATATTCTCCTGATAATTATGCAATAGGCAACACATATGAATAAGAAAACCGGACTTACTAATTAATTAACACAGCCAATTCAGAAGCCTCACAGCTTTCAATGGTTCCAATGTGTAATTGCTATTTAAATGCAAAATATTTATTTTCAAAAATCATATTTATGTTATTTATCTGGTGTTTTCAATAGCAATAGAATGGTTTTTGGTAATTCAGGCTAGCCAACAGACACCTATATGCTCAATATATTCCTACTACCAACAAAGCTTAAGATTATGCATATAAATTATATACATGTTTTAGTAATTCAATACAAAAGACTCAAATCATCGGAAAATACTACAAAGCTTGCTTGTTCTTCAGTTAAAGGAAATTTTGCTTAATGAACTTCAGTCTGACAATTTGCCGACTTCAGTTACACCAAAGTACATCGCCTAAACCAGTCATACAATGAAAATAAGCATGTAACCAATGTTTACCTCACTTTCAGGATGCAACCGTGACTGAAATATTATTAATATAGTCTGTAAAGTCTTTAATTGAACATTCTCATCTGACATTTCAGCATGCTGAAAGAAGAGTAACAAAAATGAAAGATTTCAGTAGAAAAAAATTAACCATCTATAATTAATTTTATGTTGAAAATATTGCCTGTAACAAATACAAGTATAAACTTACATCTTTTAATATAGGAAGTATCTCACTGAGAACTGATGGGGCAACTGCATCATGAGAGATGAGCTTTTGTAGACATGAAAGTCCAATAACACTAAGCTTGACAGTTTTAACCTCACATGCCATTAAAAAGATCCGCACGATGTCATCATTAAGAGAAATTTCACTAGGACTTGACAGTGTCCGAAGCTGCAAAAAACACAAGTTTCAAATTCAACTACTGCCAGCTACAGCCAAATTTCCAAAAATTGAAGTAATACTTACAACACTATCTCAAAAAGAAAAAAAAAATCCATTCAATGTCTAAATTTAGCTTAATTTACTTTCAAAAAGATGTTAAAGAGTCTAGAACCGAAACAAAATCTTGCTTAACAAAACTTATGGCAACATAAAATCGTCCACGGAATCAAATTAAAGCCAAAATGTAATAATTAATAAGTTTTCATTTTTCCCCCATCTAATTCGGTTGCTTCTAAGAAAACCAAACACGCAACAAAATAATCGTTTCAAGCTTAAGACATAAGAAAGGAAAATGCGACTAAATGAAGTAACATATACATCAATTCCACTAAAATAGCTGCATATAAAAGCGTGTTGTGACCTTTAATATGGCGTGTTCAGCGGCGTCTTTAACGGCGGGGTGGCGGCGTCGGGCTTCGGTGGACAGAGCGCGGAGATCGGATTCAAGAACAGCCATGAAAGCCATCTCCTCAGAGCGCTCTCCGTCTCTTTCTCTGTCTGGCTCTCTTTCTAATTCGTGAATAAGAATGAATCTGTAACCAGCCGAATGTTAGCGAAGAATTGAAAAATTTGTAATTTAATTCATCGAAATCGAAGAGCCCGATCGCAGAAATGAAGAAAGTGAGCTTTGTAGATCTTGTTTGAGTAAGAGATCTGTTGGAGGAATAAGACTGTTTTCGCACGTGCATATGTCACGTGTTGGATTGTGAAAGAAGGAATTTGTTGCCCGAATTAAGGTGGAGCCCGCCCAATTTTTGGTTGGACTTTGCCTAGCTTGAATGAAAAAAATTAAAGGCCCAATCGACATTTTGAGGTTAATATTGTATCTGAAAATAAGAAAGAAAATACATTTTTATGTAAGGGTAAACTATGCAAATAGTCCCTCTGATTTTGGTATGACCGAATTTGGTCACTAATTTAAAAATTAAGGGTACATGATCCTAATGTTATTGATTTGTTCAATTTTAGTCCCTCAGCTATATCACATATTCATTAAGGGTTAACAACGGAGGGACTTAAACCAGACGTAAGTATAATGTTAAGGATCATTTGTCTTTAATTTTTAACTTGATGACCAAAGTCGGACAAATCCTAAACAAAAAAGATTATTCGCATAGTTTATTCAATAAGCACAGTCAAATCTTATATTTTTCATTTAAAAAATAGTTCACTTTTTTAATTGCATTATTGGAATTACGGATAGATACGAGATACAAATTCGATAGTTTTAATTTGACTTGATTTTATAGGATTTTTTTTAAATTGAGTTTAAATCAAGATAAATTTTTTAAAAGATAAGATTAGATTTTTTTTATGATGAAAATTTTTTGACTAGAAAAATAATATAATTATTTCTTTTGAGTTTTATGATAAATTGCAATAATACCTCCTATATATGTATTTAATTAGCTCTCTATTTTATCTAATAAAAATGATATTCTTTTATATATATATTAAGTCAGATATCAATTTTTATATAAAAAAAAATTAGCTAAATTTCGAGTTGAGTAGAACTTTCTTAATTCATATAACAAAAGAGTCAATTAAAAATCCAACCAGACTAAACTCATGTCCATCCCTAAGTGATAAATGTTTGGGTAAATTATACATTTAGTATCTCAATTATCACTTTTGTTTTATTTTATTTTAGTCACCTACTATTAATACACTAACGGTGATATTGATATATCACCATAAGGTAATGCAACATCATCATTGGTTTTTTTTTTTTAAATGTCATGTCGTCAATTCTGTTAATTTTTTTAATGACGATTGGCCAAAATGAAATCAAAACATAACATTAGTATGATTTTGAAAAAAAATTAAGTGACCAACGTGAAACAATAATGATAGTTGGGTACTAAACTCGTAGTTTACCCCAAATGCTTTTAAGAAAGACATAAATCTCAGTAAAATCTCAACGTTCTCTAAAACTATCCATTAAGTAAAGCTTATGCAGATTGTGATAAAGGGAGTCTGTGTGATTTACAACCATTTGTAGTCAATGAGATAAAGAAACAATGAAACAGGTTATATCCTATTCAGGAGTTTCGTATATTCTTTGTAAATCCATCGTCGCTTCATTTAGCCTCACCAACTCACCAGTAAGCTGGAAAAACTAAAATCCAGGAGACTGTTGTTGGCGATAAACCACTAATCCCATATCGATGACTGCTTTTGAATCTTAGTTAAGAATGCATTGTGATTATGAGTCTGCAACTAGATATACTAATGGTGTTTTACTAATAAACTTCTCATTTAAAACCAAAAAAACAGTGTGTGCAATTGTTTTCTCATATTAAGCCCTATTGAGATCCAATAATGATGAAGAAAAACATGTCACTTCCTGAAGTTACTGCACAAAACATTAAGCTTTTCAGCGTATAAAAACTTTGAAGCAAATGGGGCAAATTAGGATGAACGTGTAAAGCCAAAGAAAACTGCCCAAATACTCCAAATATTCAAGCCAAGCTATGTTTGGTTGTTGCCATGGTCATTGGATTACCTCACACCAAAAGCAAGAGAATACTGAAAACAATATGGATGAATCATGCATGAACTGGAAATGAATTCGATCTATATAGTCTGTACTTGGTAGAAATGGGCACACTTTGTTACGAAAACCCCCCCAACTCCATTGAGGACTTATTTTTGCAGACTCTGATATCTTAGTTTATTTTAATGAGAGTCCGATTCTGATTTTCAGCCTTTTTTTTTTTGTATCATTGAGATAAAGAAACAAGGGATCAAATTTTCATATGTTTACTAGTTCCATGTATTCTTCAGCCCCACCAGTCTTTAGGGAAGTGGATAATCATGATGAAGCACAATCCCCCGTCTAATTTTAGTTTAAAGCATGAATATTTGATTTGCAATTAAGAAAGAAAATCGATGCATGGAACATAAAATTTGTTCAATTATCCAAGAACTAATCTTAATTGCTTCAGAAGACAGGTTTTCAATGGAGATCGAGCGTGTTTGCTTTGACAACTACGTTATATCTTATTCATATGTCAAACCTCAAGGCTCAACCGTTCGGTTTCAACATTAAAAGATCACTTTTTAACCCTTAATTTTTGTAAGACTATTCATGCATAATTCCGACGTGTTAATATCTGGACATAAAGTATAAATATGCTTGAATTACCAAAGCAATCGGAAGGTGCTCGGTACTTGATGTTAAACTTTGGGGAATTTATGAGGCTCTCTTTGACGTGGATCTTATGCATGCGCCGGGTTATCGTGGAAACAGATAGCAAAGAAGCTTTGGATGCGATTGGCTATGGCCCGGGGGACCAAGTGGTGGCTCTGCGGTGGTGCCGCACATCATGCAGCTACTAGCTCGGAACTGGAATCTGAAGTTTTCTTTTGCACCTCGTGAGAATAATAGCGTGGCGGACGCTTTGACGAGAAAGGCTTGGACTCATTCCTTTGGTCTCCACACTCTTTCAACGTGAAGGTTTCATCAAATGTTTTATCGATGATATTTTCGATATGCCGTGTCCAATATTTCATCTATGATACTCTCAATGTATCGTATCTTATATTTTATCCATAACTCTCTTAACGTGAGAGGCGTTTTTAATGTTTTACCCACAATTATCATTTTATGGGAGTCATGTCCAAGGACGGATCTATTATATATATGGGAGGGGCTACACCCCCAACTAGATAATTTTTTATATTTAATTTATATATAAAATTTAAATATTTATGGGATAATTACGAAAATGTCCTCTAAATCCAACAAAAAATTTTTAAAAATTCCAATTTATTATACGGGTGGTCCCTCTTTTACTAGTTTTATATTTTTATATTTGTAATTATATTTTTAAATATCTAATTTATTAAAATGTTATTGGAAAATTTAAAAGTAAGGGTAAACTATACAGATGGTCCCTTTTGTTTTCAATCTACTCTGTTTTGGTTATTGATTTTAAGAAAGTTTGATTTTGGTCACTTATGATTTTTGGTTATAACATTTTAGTCACTCACATTAACCTTCGTTAGATTGTTCACGTGACACGTTAATAGAAATATTAATTTTTAATTTGACCCCTAAACTTTTAAAAGTTCATTTTTTATCCATTCTTAAACATAAAAAAAAACTAAAATATTTTTTCTTCTAAAATTTCTCTCATCTTCTCGAACAAATAGACGATTAGATAAGATGAGAGATTTTTGGAGTAAAAAGATTTTAGAATTTTTGTTTGTGAAAAAATAAACTTTTAAAAATTCAAGAGTTAAATTAGGAACTAATATTTTTTGTTAACATGTCACATCAACAATCTAACAGGACTAATATCCGAGTAACCAAAATGTTATAACCCGAAAATGTAAGTGACCAAAACCCTTTTTTCAAAACCATTGATCAAAACAAAACATATTGAAAATAAAAGGGATTATCTGTCCAGTTTACCCTAAATTTAAATATATTCTTTTCGGCCAGAATAATTCCACCTTTCTCTTATTCCTTTCTCACCATATTGGAGGATAATTTAGTCATTTCAATCACGCTCATAAAAGGCGTACCTATTTCCGTTAATGGCCTTACAATTTGGCCGTGACACACAGGTCTCGAATTCTCTCATTTTTTCCCTTTTCCCTCGATCGGAAAAAGAAAAAAAAAACCGATATCTCGGTTTACGGGAACAACTGCCAATTCTTCATCGCACAGCCATGGGAGTACCGGCATTTTACAGGTGGTTATCGGATCGGTACCCGCAATCGATCGTCAACTTAATAGAGGAAGAGCCGAGAGAAGACGAAAATGGAAATCAAATACCAATTGACGTATCTAAACCTAACCCTAACGGTCTCGAATTTGATAATCTTTATCTCGATATGAACGCGATCATTCATCCATGTTTTCACCCCGAGGGCAAGGTATTTAAAAAAATTATCTAGAATTTCCTTTTCTTTGGACTGCTTTTTGATAAATTTTCTTTGAACTAATTTATGTTTTTTTGTTAGTGAATTAATTATGAAAATTTAGTTCCGAGCTGTTTAGGAACGTGCTTTTAGATTGTGTTTTAGTTTAGTAAATGTAATCGGTTAAATTTATGTTGATTTAGAAGGGAATTATGAATTTATGATGCTAGAATTAGCTTTTGTGGTGGAGAAGGTTTTAAGTACTATTTTCTATTTTACAATTTGTATCACAATGCAAATTTTATTGGAAGAAATTTTCCTGGTAATCAAGTAGTGGATTGGTTATTGTTATTGTATGATTTTGATTGTTAGTAAGTTGTAGTATGCTTTCGGTTCTTAGTATGATCTCAATTACCATGCATCGGAAAGTGTTATCTTTGATGATTGGTGCATCAACATTTTTTTCCTTTTTTCTGTGCATGAGTTAGTATATTGGTTTTATTTCTGGTCTGGCCTTGATTTTTCACTGGTATCGCTCACCACAATGTTTTATTTATTTTCCATACAGCCGGCACCTGCCACTTATGATGATGTATTTAAATCAATCTTTGGCTATATTGACCATCTCTTCTCATTGGTTCGTCCTAGAAAGCTTCTCTATATGGCAATTGGTAGAATTTGGTCCATGTTTATTCAATTTTGTTTCTTATATTAGTTGTTACTTTAATTCAATCTTGTATATGTAATATTTGTAGATGGTGTTGCCCCCAGAGCTAAAATGAATCAGCAACGTAGTCGACGTTTTAGAGCCGCAAAAGATGCTGCTGAGGCGGTAAGTCTTTGCATTATTTTGTGGATCCTAATTATTGGATTTAATTGATTTATCTTTGGTTGTTTGTCATGTTAGGCTGCTGAAGAGGAGAGGTTGAGGAAAGAATTCGAGGCTGAGGGGAAAGCTTTGTCCCCCAAGGAAAAACCTGAAACATATGACTCAAATGTTATTACTCCTGGCACTTCATTTATGGCTGTGTTGTCTGTAGCTCTTCAGTATTATATACAATCTAGGTTGAATCATAATCCTGGCTGGAGGAATAAAAAGGTGTGAAGAACATTATCCTTCTTTGGCTTCAAAGTTTGGATGATTCCTTGCAAAGTGGAGTCATCCTTTCAGTATAATTTTCCCATATACTTTTTGCTTTCAGGATACTTTGTGTCTCTAAATTTATTTACGGGGCTGCATTGGGTGATTAATTGAAGGTTATTCTTTCTGATGCAAATGTTCCCGGTGAGGGAGAGCACAAGATTATGTCATACATTCGGTTACAACGTAATCTTACTGGCTTCAATCCTAACACGCAGCATTGTTTGTACGGTCTGGTGAGAGTCAATTCCAAAATTAGCCTCTTGTACCAACTACTTTACGGCTCTCATAAATTTTTTGGTTGTAGTGCTAAATTAGCCGTTTGATCTTTTATAATCAGGATGCAGATTTGATCATGTTGTCCTTAGCTACACATGAGGTTCACTTTTCAATTTTAAGAGAGGTTGGATACTCATTTTCTTAATGTCATTCTTAGTTTCAAACAATTTATTGCTAATGTTTGATTTTTATTTCATATCATTGCTGTACAGGTGATCACTCTTCCTGGGCAACAGGAAAAGTGTTTTCTCTGTGGTCAAGTTGGTCATCTGGCGGCGGACTGTAGTGGTAAGCCAGATAATGAAACCGGAGAATGGAATGCTGTGGATGATACACCTATTCACAAGAAGAAATATCAGGTTCAGAAGTTAACTCTCTCTATTTAAGTAATACAACAAATACAATTGTCCTTTCCTATTTTTCTTGCTTGTTTTATACAGTGCTGATTTGGCTAATTGTACGGACAGTTTCTTAACATATGGGTGTTGCAAGAATATTTGGAATATGATTTGGAGATCCCCAACCCTCCATTCGAGATAAACTTTGAAAGAATAGTGGATGATTTTGTTTTCTTATGTTTCTTTGTTGGCAATGACTTCCTTCCACATATGCCAACATTAGAAATCAGGGAGGTATGCAATTACCATAGTTTGAGTGCCTGGTTTTTCTTTATTTTGTACTACGATACTATCATTCCAATTATGGATATTTTTTCTGTTTCAGGGTGCTATAATCTTCTGATGCAAGTGTATAAAAGGGAATTTGCAGCCATAGGTGGTTATCTTACTGATGCCGGTGAGGTAATTTTTTCCCTTTTCTTTCTATGTAAAGTTCACCATGAACTAAAACGGATAAAAGAGCATTGATGGGATATCAAGTTATCAACTGGAGTTTTATTTCTTTATTATAAAGATCAGTTAGAGTGGAGAACTTACTATTCTTGACATGAAGTGTTTGTGGGAGAGTAATAATTTCTATTTTTAGCTATTAAACATCAAAATTGTTGATTATCTCATCAAGAGGTGGAATGGATTTCATCTCCTGTTCAAGTCAAACAGAAATTTAATATAGAATTTTCTGTCTTTTCCTTTTCATTTTCGGTGGCGGGGGGATGGGTTGGTGTGTGTGTGGATACAGTATACATTCATAAATCAGTAGTCGGTTCTTCTTTATCCATAGATTATTTCAAGATTCACAAATCTAGAGAAGTTACTTTTCCCTATATCCAAAATTACTCTGATTACTAATTAATGGCTGGGTGTTGCACTGCATTATGCAAGAGATTTTTTGCTGAAGAGTAAATGACCAGAGATGAACTGTTAAATTGTTTTAAGTAATGGTTGGATATATTTTGTGACATTCTAGAAAAGAATGGAGATAAGGTGTAGGCTGACTTTGCGAAGTAGGTCCTTTTTGTTAATAAATTATTCGTTTCTCATGAAAAAATACTGTTTTATAAGCTACAACCATTGTTTCTCACTGTTGCTAATATAGGTTCTCCTTTCTTTGCAAGCACAGGTTTTGTTAGATAGAGTGGAGTGTTTTATTCAATCTTTTTCTGTTTATGAAGATCAAATCTTTCAGAAGAGGACTCGTATACAGCAGGTGAGTTATATCTTCTGTGCTTTGTTGTATGTGTATTTCCGATCCAAGGGAAAGCCAAGACTTGAAGCTTGGATGGTTCTATCTATTAAATTTTGATATTATTATTGTTCTACGGTTAAGACTGCTTTTCTCTTGGAGCATGTATTAGATGGATCAAAATAAGTAGTCTTCATCTTTTATTGTTTCCTGTGAAGTAGGAAATAATTGCTCGCTTAAGAGGGAAACTATTTTGGTCAATTTTTAAGAATCTTTTGTTCCTTCCAAGTAACTACAAACATGTATACAGAAATGTGTGTAAATGTTCAAATTTTACTGCAACCAACATGTAGCAACTCACCCAGGCATCTGGAAAAAGTGACTAACTAGGAGATTCTTACTGAATTGCAAAGGAATCTCTTGTAGGCAAGAAGTATATCCTTCAAGACTTAGTAATAGATTGGTAAATTTTGAAGTTCAATTGAATTTCTATTGTATGAGAACTGTTTTACTCGGATATTTTTTTCTTGTATTTATGGATATATTGTTGTTGTTTGCAAACTGTGTTCTTAAGTTTTGTGTTTTGTGCTTTCTTTCCATTAGTGATTGGTGTTTTACTAGTTTATTATGCATATCCTCCTTCAGTTCTTTTATTTCTTTTTAAGTTCTCATATCATTCCTAGATTTTTCCTTATGCTGTTGAATGACTGATTTCCAGGCAATTGAGAATAATGAACAGATGAAGCTTAAAGCAAGAGAAGAGTCTTCTGATGAGGCACAGACAACTGTTGTAGATAAGGTCTGTATTATAAATTGTTTTGTTTTAAATTAAAGACCCGGGTTCAAGTAAATTGGTCGGTTTAGTGTCTCTAGAGGTGAAATTGATTGGGTTGTGAATCAAAATGAGAATCCAGGTTGTTACTAATACGAAGCCTATTAGATAACCTCACATATACTGAAGAGATCTGAACCAAATGATAATTACAGATTTGTTGATAAATTCAGAAATCTTTTGGTTACAAGAAGTTCTAATTAACTTTATGCCCTTTTTTATTGCACTGAATTTTGTTGAATATCCTTATCCATTAACTTCTATTGACATCTATTTGAACTGATAGCTTAACCTTCCACTTTTAATCTTTTAACCATAAAATAGAGAAGTGAAGTACTGAAGGGGTAGTTATTGGTAAATTTGCTGTGAATTTTGTAGAATATCATTATCTGCAAACTTTATTGATGTCCATTTGAACAGTAAGCTTTAGCTGCTCTACTGTTGGTCTTATAACTCATAATATATAAAGAAGTGAAAGAGAGTCATGGTATGTAGAATCCCATGGAAGCCCTGGATGTCATTTAGCTTGAGCAATCGGATAAGTGTGGTAGCCTTTTGTGATCAGCTTCTTGCAGTGCAATAATCTGCTTGTTTCTTTTTTCCAGATTAAATTAGGGGAACCGGGATACAGAGAAAGATATTATGCTGAGAAATTTGAAATATCAAATCCTGGGGAAATTGAAAAAGTTAAAAAAGACATTGTAAGTTTAAATTCAAATCCAGTGGGAAGTTTTTTCCCACACTAAGTTGTGCATGTGTTATCCGGGTTGCATATCTGTAACAGTTGTCTCTACTCCTTGCAGGTTTCGAAATATGTTGAAGGGTTATGCTGGGTATGCAGCTATTACTACCAAGGTGTTTGCTCTTGGCAATGGTTAGTTTTCGTTGGATGGGAAGAAAATGGTGTATCTACTGTACCTACCATCTTTCATTTGATAAACTAAATGAACTAATATTATATGGTCGAGTATAAGCAAACCTATTTTCACTTGGCGATGGCTGATGCAATATGCATCCTTTCGCCTCCTCATACTTTTGTTATTCTATGGTTGCATTCATCTTGTTAATTGAAAAAAGTACTAGCTCAGATTGCCATCATATATATGCATGCATTACTAGAAAATATCAGAAAGAGACAGTCTTATCCATGCAAAAGTTCACTTAGGCTTTGCTTAGTAGGGTGGAAAGAAAATAGAAAAGGTGGGAAATTGAAAGAGGATAAAAAGTGGATAGATAGTAAATTAGTTTTTCTATCCATTGCTGTGCTTGGCTGGAAAGATGGAAAAATAGAAAGAATAAGTCATTTCTTTTCAAAAGTTGCTTGGTAGAATTGAAAAGGGAAAGGAAAGAAAATGAAGATACTAAAAAAATGAATAATTTTTGTTAACACACGCTCTTCTCCTTTTTTCATTCCAATTCAAATGAACCTTTTTATACATTATAATGGAAAATGGTCATCTTTGCTATTTTCTTTCCTTCCACTTTTCTTCCCTCCCGAGCACAGTCAAATTTTTTTGTCCTCACTTCTCCACTCTACTCTTTTCATCCTTCCACTTTCAAGCACACCCTTAATGCTGTCAATTGTTATTTTTGTAAACAGTGGAGACACTTTCAACTTATAAATTTTAGGTCTTAATCATGGTCAAGGGAAGTAGGGTTATTGGTACTTGATACTCTTTTCCTTTAGCTTCTGAATTATATACATGTCTAGTATAACTGCCTAACTAATAATTACAAATATGCTACGTGTCTTGCATTATGGCTTTTTTATTTAGTTGGTTTAAAGTGGCATCCGCACTGTTTCCTTCAGGTTTTATCCATACCATTATGCACCATTTGCTTCAGATCTTAAGGATCTAGCTGATTTGGAAATAACATTTTCCATGGGAGAGCCATTTAAACCCTTTGACCAGCTCATGGGAACACTGCCAGCTGCCAGGTTTTCTTAGTTTTATACTTTTGTTGTGTGTACAATTATTTTACTTCAAATAGTTCTTTTTTATTCCGGTTTACAGTTGCTTATGCTTTATACTATTTTATCTCTATCATGTTACAGTTCTAATGCTTTGCCAGAAAAATATGGGAAACTGATGACTGATCCCTTATCACCTATCTGTAACTTTTATCCCACTGGTAAAAAGTCGGTCAACTCTTGGTGGTCTATTTATCTTGTGATATTCCTCCTCTCTTTCAATCTCATTAAGATTTCTCTATGCAACAGATTTTGAGATTGACATGCATGGTAAACGCTTCGCATGGCAGGTATATTCTTATGATCCTATCTACGATGTTAAGTTGTTTTTATTTATTTTCTTATCCATTTCAACAAAAAATTGTGGTCTCTTACTCTCTTTTTTTTCAATTTTTATTCAGGGTATTGTCAAATTGCCATTCATCAATGAGAAGAAGTTGCTTTCTGCAACAAGAAAGCTTGAAGCTACTTTAACGGTCGGAATTGTTGTTCTAGACTAGCAAGCTTAATTTATCCTAGTCGTCTTTTATGCACTTGCTTGTCATTAAAATGTTTTTTGTTGATTCATTATGCTAACACTTAAGATTATATCTGCAGGCTGAAGAGCAGATTCGTAACAGTGTGATGCTTGATCTGCTCTATGACCATCCCCTTCATCCTTTGGCTTCACAAGTTATTTCATATTATCAAATTAACTATCAACTATGCCCTCATGAAAGATTCGTATGGCCAATCGACACAAATGCTAGGTTGGTTAATATCAGTGTTCGTAATTAATTGAGTGTGAACATTTGTTGGTTTTACAACCTCATTTATTGTCCTTCACAGTGGTGGAATGAATGGATTTCTTTGGTTATCTGAAAGGAACGGTTGGCACTATGTTGTCTCTTCCCCTGTCAAGGGGTTGCCGGATATTGAAGTTAACCAAGTTTTGTGAGTCTTCCGAGGTTTTATACCCTTTTTATCTTGAAAGCTCCTAGAATTCTAGTGATCCTAATTATTCATTCCATTCATTTTCACTTTGCAGGAATATTACGTATCTTAATCCTTCAGATCATAAACACATTCCAAAACTTCCACAGGCTGTTGTGCTACCCAACAAGGTATATATAATTGTTGATTTAGTCATTGCTTGAAATTTATTTGGTATGATAAGGGAACTCAAGGATGCATAAGATTACCATTTAACTTCAGTTCTTTCTTTTATTCTGAGAAACATTACCGAAACATCATGGATCCGTCACCCAAGTTTAATTTTAAACACGTCACTCTTGCAGGTTCTAACACCATTGGACATCAAACCTTTTCCTGTATTTTGGCATGAGGACAATGGTGGCCGGCGCCAGCAAGCCAAAGATCGGTGAGAATGCATTATCTTAGTTTCATGGAATATGCATGATCGTGGAGATCTTACATATTAGTAAATTTTCCGTCAGTTTGCTGTTTACCGTTCAAAATCTCCTCAGAATTTATTCAAAGGCCTTCAAAACTGCCATTGGTTATACCGTGATGTTCATTGTTGAACTTGTTTGACAGGGCTCTACTACGTGGTGCAAAAATTGGGCCTCAGCTAGGAGATGCAGCTCATCGTCTTGTCAAGAGTACTCTTAATGTAAAATCAAACAGGTCACCCTCTGGGTCAGGGGAGCAACCATCTTTTAATATCTCGAGCAACTACAACAGCATTAGACCAAGACCTGTAGGACGATCAGGTTATGAAAGGGGCTTTCTTGATGATCCAAATTATTATTATAGCAGCCAGCCACGTGCAGGTGAACCATCAAGTTATGAAGGGGGATATGGTAATGGCACAAATTATCATGGCCAATACAGTCATCCACAAGGGATTATGGGTAACCCAAGGCATCCATCATCAAATGGTATGCAAATCGGAAACAACTTCAGGACACAGGGTAGAGTACAGAATCAGGAACGATATTATGATTTGCACGTTGGAATGTCTGCTTTGACTTTTGAGGGAATGGGAAGAGGTAGAGCACATGAGGCATCTTCAAAGATGCCAAATTCTGGATACTCACAGAATTTAGATCTCCGGTCTGAGAACAACACTGGTACTTCTCCCACACCGCCCAACATGCAGATCAGTAAACCAGTGAATGTAAATGCTAGAAAACAAGAAAAAGCATCAAGTGGAGCTAACGAGAAGCAGAAGAAGAAGGTTTATCAGATTAAGTCTCGTCCGCAGGGAGTGACTGGTCCTGTGAACCAGCAGTGATCACTTATCAAATAGAGACTCGTTGCCTGTTCCTTTGACACAGGCATGTACATTCCTCTAATTAAAACCCTTTAACTTCTCTGCAATTTTAACTTATAGGTCACATATTACCATCTGATCCGTCGGCTTCTGAATTAACCACAGAGCTGTTCAAATACTTGAATTTCATCACGTCGGTTGAATACCTGTATGATTTTATCAATGAACTTGTCGTGTGAGCAACATTTGACCAGATGGCCAAAGTTGTGTCACGGTAATGTTCATTTATAATATCAAATGGAAATTTAATAAGTCGTGGGACATTGCAAGTTTTGAATGGTTTTGGTGATTAATCTTAGAATTGAACATTAAGAAGAGTCAGAAGAGTCTGACAGTCTGTAGTTGCATCAGGTTATAAAAGTTTAAACCATAGGTTTCACGGAACACACCATAGTCGTTTGGGAAGTCCATCATATGACCGAAACTAGGACTGTTGTGTTGATACCAGAAGGATTAATCAAATGTCTGTTGTTGTAAGTTGCTGAAGCTTTTTCTTTTAAATATTTAAGTAGAAGTTGTACAATGGAGGCGTAGATTGTTGATCTCGGGTGTTGTGAACTGTTACTATTCTTAGTTTACAGTTGAGCAAGTAGTAGGAGGCTAGGAGCCAAAACTGGCAAAGCCACCCAGTTGTGTGTGTTAGAAAAGATGTAACCGTTATTTCAAGATTACCCTTATCATCCACTGATTAAGGAGCACTTTATAATCTATTAATCATGAAGGAGGTTTTTAACGAGGCCTGTCATTTCTATCAAAAAAAAATACCCTTATCATTGCTTATTCTATTCCAAATGATTATATGAGAAGTGATTTTTATGTTATTACATTTATATAAATGACAAACTTGATTTTGCCTACTTATAGTTCTGATTTACAGTCTTCTTATTAGGATATAATATAATTTTTTTTCTTTTAAGTCTTGGATATTAACCCAAAGTTTTATTGCCACTGCCAGCAATTTTCATTGTTTAGAAATATGGGTAATTAAGTTACTTATATCAACTTTGACAAGTAATTATCATGGTTGTAAAAGTATCACATAAGTTACTAACATAAAATCAAAATCTTGTGTCCGTCTGTATTGCATTAAATCAATGATAACATTTGTATTTTATTCTCCTAACTCAAATCATAGTATGAGAACTACTAAAAGAAGCAATACATTCAAAGACTAAATTACCAGAAATCTTTATTTCATTTGAAAAAGAAACTCAAATTCAAGCTGTTGAATCCATTCCTCAAGTCCTACAATGTCAGGGTTTTGCATACTTGCATTGAATTGATCATCCCAACCCATGTATGAAAATTAAGAAACTATTGATTCAAACACTAAATTACCAGAAATCTCATTGCTCAAATACCTGTTTGTTTCAATCGAATATACTCAAAAATCAGTTGCACTTCCCTACACTATATCAAGTATCCAACAATATGAAATCCATCATCGAACGAAGCTCCTCCAACGCTGCCTTAATCTGATCCTGCACCAACTCCAACCGTTTCGATAAACTTCCAATTCCAAAATTTGCAGCTTCCTCCACCTCTCGTCCATAGGCTCTGCATTACCCCCACCACCGCCACCGAAATTCAAACTTCCCCCGAAACTCAACGGCATTGCATTCATAGCCAAATGACTAATCCCTCTTCCTCCATATCCCCCTCCTCCCATTACACTACCTAACAACTCCTTAAACATCAGTGTTAAACAACTCCTCACGGTCTCCTCTACGACCCCCACCGCCACATTAATTCCTCCTCCACCACCACCACAACCACTCAATCCTTGTACATTACCATTAACATTATCATGATTAGTCCTATCATTATAGTTACTATTGGTAATCAGAGTTGCGTCGTTTAAAACTCCTTTCTCCTCCATTGTCACTCCTTTATCTCTAGCCCTTTTCTTAATGGCAGTTGATTTCGGTGTAAAATTCTGTTTCTCCTGACTTTCGTCTATTAAACTAGTTTTATTATTGTTATTTTCATCATCATCTAAAACATTATCTTCTACTTTGCCAACAATATCACTCCAGATCCTACTAGATATTTCAAAAGTAGCTTGATCATGAGGGGTTTTGAAAGAAAATTCTTTACCTGAACTGATCTTACTCATCACGGTCCTATACTTCTTCAATCTACGAAGCTTCTCCACTAGTTGATTCTTGTTGAAGTCCAGCTGGAGTTTCGATTTGACTTGATCGTAAAACAAAGCCGTATCGAGATGATGATGGTGAGAAGAAACAGCACTTGAGTTCATTCTCAACGTTGAGTAATCAAGGAACCCTCGGAGAAGCTCGATCTCGTCATCGTCTGTCCATAACCGTTGAAATAGCCGTCGCGAATCGTCGAATTGCGGCGGCGGAGGGGTTTTTTTCTCTGCCGCGGCGAAGTCGACGCGTCGGCGTCTGGGATCAGGAGGCAACTCTTCGGTGGAGACAACGGCGATGTTTACGGCGGTGCGGATGGGACGGTGAGAGGAACGACTGTGGCGATCGGTTGAGGGAGTAAAGAGGAATTTATGTGTTCTTCTTCCAATAATTCCTCGTCCTCTTCATCTTTTAAAACATTGTCGTTTTTGTCGAGCTCGTGATCGGAGGATGAAGGTTCCTCGTCGTCGTCCTGAGATCCATCGAAAACGGCGCCGTACTGTTCCGAAGCCATGAGAGAGGAAAATTGTTCACGAGGAATCGATGATTTCGAAAAGCGTGTTGGTTGGACTCGGTTGGTGGGCCAACTTGCGCTTCCTTGGCGCGATTACCTCAATATCTATAATATAAATTTCGAACTTCAAAACACTTTCTAATTTAGGTTTTTATTTTGTTTAGAGTAAATTACTTTAAATATCATTTAATTTTAAGTTTTACATTGATTTTAGCATTAAATTTTAATTCTAATTTAGTTCTTTTTCTTATTTTTAAGTATCGTCGAAAATTATCATTTTTCAATATCATTTACTATCACTCTTAACATTGATGATCTTATCTTCTTATCCTTCACTACTTTATTGATTTAAATTTTTCTAAAACTTATTTAAAACTCATAAAATTAAATAAAAAGTGTAACAATTTTTTTAAGGACTTTTAGGTGTTTGTTAAATTCAAACACTAAAAAATTCTTTTGAAAAAAAATGAACATCATACCTCAAAACTAACTTCATATTAATCACAATTATTTAGTGGAAAAACAAATTTATTTAATTTTTGGCTTAAAAAAGCAAAATATTTGATTACCATACCCAATGTGGCTTTCAACTATGCCAATATTCAGGTAAACAAGTGAGCAGCCATCTCCTTTGGGGTGGTGCTGACTACGTGTTCCACCATATGCATTTTTGGTGGTTTTATTCCAAGAGGCTAAATTACAAATTCCATCACTCTACTTTCTCTCACTTCTATTTTGGTCACTAAAATTCAATTTTTAAAAAATTTAGTGACCGAAATAGAAAATAGAAGAAAGTTGATAGTGAAATTTGTAATTTACCCATTCCAAAATGGTCCATCTTTGGGTGCCATTGATGGGGCAATTAGGTAAGCACTTACAATTAGGAAGTTGCTCTCAACCTGACGTTGGAAATAACCTACTACCTTACCTCCCCTATCCCATTACATATGGGAATAGGGTCAACTAATTTTCTATTTCCCAACATAATTTTGAAATCAAACAATGCATACTTATTATTATTCATAAGGTCAGTTTCTTAACATAAACTTCAAATTTAATAATGAAAGATTAAATAGGGAAGAGTGAGAAATCAGTACAAGGTAAACTTTTCCTTAGTCTTCTCAAACACTTGTTCTGCAATGACGGCACCTGTTCCATCAGCTTGTTTGATCTCCAGGTTTGCCTTCTGGTAAAAACCAGTACCTCTCAATGCATCAGCAATGAAATCATCAAACCCTATGGCTATGGCTGCCTCTGCTTTGGCTCCATAAACCAGCCTCTGCTTAAAAGAAATATGTAAACAAAGATCACAACTTCGGTTAAGAATCACGGTTTCACTATCCTCGAGCTACGGCATCTTAAGAAATGAACCACGGACTTGACTCGGTTAGTTCACATGGCTACATGTAATAAGCGACATTCAACAAGTCCGGGATTCGAATCTCAACATCTACGACTGTTTTTTCATCCTTATCCTTAATTAGTGACCTCTTTCGTATGAACAAAAAAGATTATATGTTAAGAATGGTAAGTTTTGGCATCGGACCTTGATTCTCGATAGATGGATGGCGCCAAAGCACATTGGACAAGGCTCACATGATGCATATATTTCACAATCTGAGAGCTCAATCTGATTCAGCTTCTTGCATGCCTGACATTGATATTCCAAGCATTAGTAAATGGACATAGCAATGTGTAATCAACACCAATGAAAATCGAGATGAATTAGTTGTACATTCTCACTGTATTTAGTAATTTTCATTTATTACGATCTAATCTCAAGGAACATATATGCAGAATTATTAACCATCACATGACTCCTATAAATACAGAAAACAAACAGAGCCACGAGAATTGATGATAAACTTTCACTAAATCGGAGCAGATTACGAGATTGAAGTAAAAATGTGGCAAACAAATTCAGTAGAAATCACAGAATGGTGCTCGAACCCCTCATAAAAGAATGCTGCTGCAAATTAACATGTATATCTTCCAATGAAGCTATTGCATTTTCTTACAATCAACAAACAGAATATACTTTTTTTGGCGTTTTAAGTAAAAATAAGAATAGGAATAAGCAATTTGATTAGTCGTCTGTTTTGTTTGTTTAGTTGTTTTGTTCTGACCTCTCTAATAGCGGTAACCTCTGCGTGGGCAGTAGGGTCGGTGTTTTTCAAAACCATGTTGTGACAACTCACAACGACTTCGTCATTGCGAACTACAACTGCACCGAATGGCCCTCCATCTTTACATTCAACCCCTTTATATGCTTCTTCAATTGCTTGAGTTAAGAATTTGTGATCTCTATCCTGTACAGCTGGTTGAACAATAAACAGAACAACAGCTTTTAAAACCATCTAACAAACATCAAGCACAATCGTTCTCCCGAGAAATCTACATTGCCAATCAAGTATATATACTAATCATTAACACCTAGGTTGTCTGGACCATTTTTTTTTCTTAAACCTGTGTCTAGTACCTATGGATATACACTCGCCCTCAAGTCCGGGTAACTAAGATACCAGATCATCAATAATGATTGCCATCACAATGATCCATAAACCGTGTCGCAACTTTAATATCTACAATCAGATAGACACCTACGCGGTTCGAACTCTTCATTTTTCCTAAACCTATGCCTAACACTTATTTACAACAAATAAACCGGCATGGATATGCACTCATTCTCAAGTCCAGGTAAAATAGATTAACACAACATATCTAAGGAATATACCTATGCTATTTGGCCTCTTCGTTTTCTCCTAAACCCGTGTCCTGACTCACCCTCAATCTGGGTAACTTAGACCGACACCGACACAGCATATCCGAGGAATATTCGGAATCATAACCGTGAGTCTGATCTATAAACTGTGACACAGCTAAAAGGTAAATAGCCAAGCAGAATATTTATGGAAGTATTCTTTTGCCTTTTCTAGAAGTAAATCTCCATTACCAAACAATAGGTAAAATCCAATGAATTTAGAAAGAAAATCTTGACAACAAATAACGAGGCCAATGAATATTAGCTTTTTAACATTAAATCCTATGAAAAAAAGTTGAAATTTACCTTCTTGATGACCAGGAAAAGAAGAGGCAACAGCAATTGTTCCTTCTTTAGGTTCCAACACTACAAAAAAGGAGCAAAATAAACATTAATATTTTAACCAATTATTTACAAAAATTAATGAAATTTAAGACAAATATTAGTCTAAAAATGTATACATGAACCCTAAAACTGTGATTATTTTTCCTCACAAAATTGTGGGAAAAGTCTGTTTTTTTTTTACTTCCAGGCATTAACAAATTCAATTGATCTGTCTAATACTAAAACTAGAAATGCAAAAGCAAAGTGGGAAATTCAGTTATCCCAATTTCTGCAAAAGCAACATTGAAAATTCTCATGGAAGATCAAAAAACCAACAAACAAACAAAGAAAGGATCTCAATGAAAGATCAAAAAAATAAAAACACAGAAAGAAAAACATACCCTTTGCCTCTTCCATGATGAAAACAAAGAAGAAAATTAAGAACTTTGATGAATCAAAAGCAATGGGTAGTCAACGAAAGATGGGAAAAGGAGAATAAGATAAAATGACAGAGAAAGATAGGATTCACGTATATATAGATATATACACACACTCTTGGAGGAGAAAAATAAAAGAAGAAAAATTAAAATTAAAATTAAATGAGAATCCTTTCTTCTTTTTCCTTTTTATTTTGAGGCTGATTCAGGACTATACTTCAATATGATCATATGAACTTAATTTAATGGCATTTGGTATACTTTACCTTTTGGTATAGTATATCTCAATTTCTTATTTTATGTTATTTGAGATCACATCGCAAGAACAAACTAAAAGATATTGATGATAAAAGAAATTGTTTTTATTTTTTGAAGTTTTAGGTTTGAGTATTAAGAATAATAGGGTGTATTAAACAAATGAATGGGAGTTATCTTTAAACATATATTACCTTAATACTTAATTCATTTTAATAAAAAAAATCACATCTCAAAAGGAAATAAAAATAAAATATTAAGAAAGGTTTTGAATTATTTTATTTGATTGTTTTCTTATGCATTAATTTTCACATAAAAAATACCATTTAAACTTTTTTTTAAAATTAATATAGAGTAAGTACAATGTGATATCTCTTCAAAGATAAACTCTTAATTATTTGACATTAATCACTCACACTTTTGGCATTCATAGTGTTCGCACTCGAAACCTTAAGGAATAATAACAATTCATTTACTACTGAGGTCGTTTAATTTATATTTTTAACTTAAATATCAATAACTATAAATTAAAGGTTAATAAATTTATTTAGATACGAGTTACCATATAAAAATTTATTTGGATAAATATTGACATTTATAAACTAAAATTTTAGATTTATTTAGATACAAGTTACCCATCTAATAATTTATTTGGATAAATATTGATAATTATAAATTAAAAGTTAAAAGATTTATTCGGATATAAGTTACCATATAAAAAAGTTGGATAAAATTTAAAATATAATATAATTTTTGAAAAACCAAGTAGCCTCAATAATATAATATAAGGAAATATTGTTATTAGATGTTATGTGTTAGAGTAATTGTGTCTTAAGCATGGTTTTAAGAACCGGGCCTGTCAGTGAACCGATCGTGTTACCGGTTCACTGGTTCAACCGGTTGAACCGATCAGACCGGTCGTAAGAACCGGATGATGTCATAATTATTTAAAAAATTAAATTAAAATACCAAAAATATTTAATAAAAAAAAATTAGGTTGAACCGGTTCACGGTCCGATCCGGTCCGATCGGTTCAAAGCCGATTCGAACGGTTCCTTGCTGTTCACTAGAACCGATTCAACTGGGATAGAATGGACCAAACCAGGCAGCGGTTCCCAGTTGAACCGGTCGTTCCGGTCCGGTTTTCAAAACACTGGTCTTAAGAGTGTGTGTTGTTAATGAATTAAAAAAGTTCTGGACATATATTATCTTATAATCACATTGACTATTCAAAAAAATTATTTTAAACTAAATTTTTAATAAACGGTCTGTATAAATTAAAATTTATATGAAATTTTTATTTTAATTTTAAAATATAAAATTTATATCTCAAACCCTAAAACTCTATATATTAAATATTAAATTTTATAACTCGAATTTTAAACAACAAATCTCAATATTTATATAATTACATATCATTCAAATAAATAGACTTGTATAAATCAGAATTTTTAAATAATTTTCTTAATACTAACCCACACAAACAACGTTTTAGTTTAGCCTTTAAAAACCTACCCATGTATCCTTTGTTTGAGTTAATTGCATCATATGCACTCAAACTAGAACTTTCATTTTAAGTTGCTCCTTAAACTTTTAAATATTTTAATTTCATCCCTAAACTATTATTTTATTCTAAATTAGTTCTTAAACCTTTAAACATTCTAATTTCATCCCTAAATTATGACCATCTTTCTAAATTGGTCCTCAAACTTTTAAATATTTCAATTACATCTCAAAATTCATACAAATATGTAATTAGTTTCAACCATATTTAACCTAAATTTTGGTTTTTTTCAAACATATAATAATATAACTTGACCTAAAGATTTTATTAACAAGGAATGTGATTAATATATACATATAGTTTGAGATAAAATTAGAATGTTCAAAAAGTTTAGGGGACCAATTTAGAATGAATGCCATAGTTTGGGATAAAATTGAAATATTCAAAAGTTTGAAGACTAATCTAGAATGATAGTCATAGATTGGAATGAAATTCGAACACTTAAAAGTTTAGGAACCAATTTAAAATGAGGGTCATACTTTGAAACATTTGATGCAATTAACTCTGTTTTTTTATTTACTAAAACCAAAATACATTTGTAAATGTTATTATTATTTTTTATTTTGAAAATAATAAAACTTCTTTTTAATAAAAAAAATCCGAAAATTTATCCATTATTTATAGTCAACTTTACTATCATCTCTAAAAACGAAAGTTTTTTTTATTAAATTAAGGTGATTACAAAATAATATTTGTTCTAAATACTTCTTAACCATTTAATAATTAACACTTGGTACTCGAACTCCTGACTTCTAAAAACAATAACAATTCTTTTGAGCTTTAACCTCGAGATAAATTTGTTCGTGCAAAACAAAAATTATCATTCAATGAATGCATGATACATGTCCAAATAAAAAACATTAAATTCTTAACTCTAAATCTTATATATCGTTATTAAACCCCCACAAAAAGACGTAGTGGTGACATTTTTTTTACATTCTAGTTCTTAAGGCTTCGTCTTGATTAATTCGGACCGACTCGAGTCGCACACCTAATTTTGGTGGATGAGCTTCTTAGAAAGGATTTTCAGCATGTACAAAGACTCGAACTCAAGACAGGCTTAAGCAAAATCAAACTATTTACCATTGACTTAATAGAAAGATGAGACGATGACTATGAGGGTGTGTTTGGTTGGGGGAATGTGAGATTCCCATGGGAATGGAATCTACATTCCCCCGTTTGGTTGGCTGGGAATGTCATTCCCGGTAATCTTACATTACCAATAGTAGATTATTTGGGGTATATTACCGGGAATGTCATTACTTCCCTTTCCTTAGATATTGTTGGATTATCAGCATTTTAGACTAAAATGCCCTTAATTTTTTTTTCAAAAATATCATTATTCTGTCATTGAATAATAAAAATTCTACGAAGGTTAAATTACAAATTTATCTTTAAACTATTTTAGATTTACAAAAAATCTATAATTAAAATTTTATATGAAGTTCAGGGTTTAAAATAAAATTTTACCCTTTCATTAAACCTTTTTATATTTTCAATTTTGTAAAAAAATTATATAAATTTTATGAATTTAAATTTTTAAAGAAAATATATAAATATTTTCCAACTTGTTAAAAAAACAAATATATAATAAGAACAATTTGGTTTAATATACATTCCAATAATCTTTTATTCCTTTAACCAAACATGGTAATCTTACATTCCTGCTAAACCAACCAAACACAAAATACAACATTCTCAGTAATCCTATTCCCTGGTAATCTTTTATTCGCATTGGTAATCTTACATTTCGTGAACCAAATGCACCCTAATAAGAGTGTTTTAACACTCAAAATTTTAGTTTGGATAAAAATATATTTTTTAAATTATTAATTGACTAATAATCAACACTTATTTTGACATGATAAATGTTTAATTATTAATTGACTGATAAACTCTTATTCGTTGATAATCTTTTATTCCCACTAATAATCTTACATTCTGTGAACCAAACAAACCATGAGAGGTTATATGACTTATATTTTTTTGGTTTGAAAATAACGATTTTATAGGGTTTTGTTAAAATTATAAATTTTTAAGAGTTTCTTTTTTATAATTAAAAATGAATTTTAAAATAAAATATAAAATAAATTTAAAAGTTAGATTACATGTCAAACAATGATTGAATAACAGATTATTAAAACAGAGATAGAAGACTGAATTATGAAAACTGAATCACATGTCAAATAATATTAAATAATTATTTTGATAAAAAAAATTAAATAGCCTAAAGAAAAGTACAGTTAACTTTATTTTTCAATTAAACCCATAAATAAAACGGTAAATTATATATCTAGTACCTAAACTATTACTTTTATTCCATTTTGGTACCCAAATTTTTTTTTCAAAACCATACCTAACGTTTAGTTTAAGTTTTATTTTGATATCCCGTCATCAAAATCTTAACGGTGATGTTGACGTGTCACCATAAAGTAATCTTACTTCATCATTGTAAATAAAAATAAAAACATGTCACATCAATATTTCTATTAAGTTTTTACAGTGGGATACTAAAATGAAACATTAACTAAACCTTAGGTATGATTTTGAAAAAAAAAAGTTTAGATACAAAAATGAAATAAAAGTAATAGTTTAGGTACTAAATATGTAGTTTACCCTAAATTAAAACAAAGATAGAAGACTGGACCTTAAAGAAAAGTCAAACAAGACATACAATCCCCTTAAACCCCACGTTCTTGCAATAATTTCGTTTAAATTATTATTATTTATTATTATTCTTTTTACATTTTATATATTGCTAATATTTATTGCTAGTGTGAGAATTCATGCTTTCACATGTAACAAACGTATACACATTCACACAAATAAGTGTTTAAATAATAAAAAAAAATTAGTTGTTCAAACTTTTGTTGATTAAGGTGGTTATTTAATATTTTATTTCATTATTAATTTAAAGTTAACAATTAAAAAGAAATTATCACCTAATAAATACATGACAAGTGATATTTAAATATTCAAAAAAATACATATCATTCAAATAAATAGACTTGTATAAATCAGAATTTTTAAATAATTTTCTTAATACTAACCCACACAAACAACATTTTAGTTTAGCCTTTAAAAAACATACCCATGTCTCCTTTGTTTGAGTTAATTGCATCATATGAACTCAAACTATAACTTTCATTTTAAGTTGTTCCTTAAACTTTTAAATATTTTAGTTTCATCCCTAAACTATTATTTTTATTTTAAATTAATTCTTAAACTTTTAAACATTCTAATTTCATCCCTAAACCATGACCATCTTTCTAAATTGGTCCCCCA